ACGAATAAAACTGTATGTACTGAAAGATATTTTCGACCCGTCGATACTATCCTCATGAAATGACGCCGTTCCTACCAGGAATATTTTTCTGAAGGCACAAAATATGCTGTCCTACTAGTAGAGTCAAAACTGGAACCGAATCAAAGTTAAAATGAACATCATTCCGATTTTATGGATTCAGGACTACATTCTGATCTGTAGGTAAAAAAATTTCAATAAAGATAAACATTTTGAGGACGGTATATTCAAATATACATTGACATTTTTCTGACTTTCGACACATGACTATAAAAATCCATAGCATGAAATAAGAAGTCGCCAATTTCATTTCGGATCTCCCACATCGAATATTTTATGGATTTTGCATTTCAAAATAAACAACAGAATGATTGGAATATTTTGTCACATACCGGAAACGGTGCTTCAAAGCCATTCCAGCTATTCATGTTACTCATTCTTCAGTCACGCGCGAAATCCAACTGTGATGATCGCCAATCTTTTTTGTTCGAGGATAGCGCCAACATTCTTAACTTAATGAAGTGTGAAATGTTTTACATATTTCCTTCACAAAGGATCTATGACCGAGATCAGAGTCTTAAGTGACTTTTGATAGCAACAGATGAGCTTGAAAATCCGAAAGAGAGATGGGTAAAGCGTAAAGGAATAAGTGGCCGTTCTGCGAATTGTGTAGAAAAAATGGATTTTCTAATAATGGTGAGAATTTCAAGTTTTCAATCGATCTTAAACATTTAACAATGATAACAGCCATTTTGAGACAAAATAATATTGTTGAGCTTTGAATTAGTTCGTAGAATTGTTCTACTTCTTCGAATTTCCCACGCATTCTTGGTGGACAAAAAAGCCAACTTCAATCCAACAAATAATCGCTCAAAGGCGGACTTCAATCTGTCACACAAACTTTCAGCGCCACTTTTCTTTTTGTACAAGTTTTTATCTACTTTTTCTTTCGAAATTGCGCACAAACAGAATGATGTAAAAGTTTTTCGAGTCATGAGAACAAAACAAATTTCCGTTTGGCGATTACATCAACTCGAAATCGTGTACGGCATAATTTTTTGATGTTTAACTCTTCGTGTACCTCAGGGAACAAACACGAGAGAAAAAATACACGCAAAAACTCGGACTTGAAAAAACGTTGTGGGTATCCAATTTTAGGCAACTGAGCTCTTAACAAATCATAACATTTAATTGAATAAATAAAATGTGACAACGTTAATGAATGGATGAGAATATTCTTGGGACGTTATTTTTGGTCGGCCGAACTTTATGATTTTAGCTAAAGTAATTCTGATGTTGAGCTATTAAAATCGAAAATGCACAGCGCACACCTCTTGCAATTCAAATGAATAAATCACCAAATAGTTATGAATGTGAGGCAAAAGAAAATGGACAAGAAATAATTAAATAAAAGGTTATATATCTGGAGAATTGAAATGGAAATGCGAGTATCTAACATGGAAATTCCCTTTTCGAATTTACCGAATAATTTTAAATGAAAAACGATGTATTTTGGTACTATTGCGAAAATTGTGATTTCGTTCATTCATTGTGGCGTAGATGTCCGTAAACTCACATACGATATATCTATTCCTATTAATTCATTGCTTTTAATGTCACAATACAAACAAAACAAAAACAACACATCAAACCCATGTATGACAATTTAACATGTTTTGGATAACGGCCATCTTTATCAAGCCCAAGTGAAACATGGAAATCATATTTGGGCGCAATCGAATAACAAACCGACCAACAAAAAAGCAACGTTGCGAATGTTTGCTTGTGTTTGTGATTACACTTCGCAATACCCATAAATATAATGACTTAAGAGATTATTAACACTTGCCAATATCAATTCATCCATTATTGAGACGAACCGCTTGACGGCGCAGGTACTCGATTTGAATTCAATTGAGTACTTGTGCGTTATCATCACCATTCAATCTACAAATTAGTGACAGCCCATTGAATTTTGAAATAATTTTCCGTGCGCTTCTTCTCGCTGTCTTTGGCTTCGAATACCAGACGAACATTGAAATGGAATACAAAAAAGAAATCCGAATAATTGTCGTTTTATTTGTTTGTATTCGCTTCCGTAAAAGTGAAATCGATTTCAAACGCAAACAATGCAGAAGATAGAACATGATTTGACGCGTCGAGTGAAACCAATAGTCCTAATCAGTATATGTGATACTTGTCAATTTTCGGTAACATGTTCTGTGTCTGACCCTCAAAATTTTAACATAATTTGACTTTTTTGATGGCGATAAGAAAATTACTTGACAATTCTAAGCTTGATATTGACTTGAATTTGATGCAAAGATTACTTGATTTTCATTTTAAGTCTTTGGAAGCGTGGATAAAAAAAGAGAAACTTTCTCAAGTGAACATTCCCGTTGAAAACCATGAATAAAAAGTAAATCCTCCATTATTCATTCATCCCCAACACGTTTCTCTTTTTGCCAATACAAAAATATTCAAACAGAAAGAGGCGTGACACATTTTTTGCCGAGTTTTTCATTTTTTTTTTTTTCATTCTCAAGTTCTTCTCGCACAATTTTTCAGAAGACAAATTCGATTCATGTTTCATTGTTAATCGATGAAAGAGGCGATTTGAATTTTTCTCCATTTTTCATTTTGCCGACAGATCAGTTTCGAATAAACCTTTAAATGACAGATTTTACACATGTTCTTTGCCACGATACGATCAATCAAAATTGGAATTTTTGATGAATGAGCAAAAGACGACTCAAATTGTACTACTGTTAGAGCCAAGAGACATCAAAGGAATGTACACAACCATTTTATTACGGCGCTGTTATAATTTAATTTCGGACAGCCTTGTCTATGTCTACTTTTTTTCATTTGATTTATCAGCATGACTTACAAAAGCCGCGCCGCGCTCAGCTGATATTTTTCGATTGCTTCGATTAGATAGCGTCCTAAATTGTGAAATGCATATGGAGAAAAAAGTGCCGCAAAGGCATTGCTCTTTCGGTAGTTTATTTGTTTATAAAATGTTGCCTAATTTCTTCAAATATTCGAAAATCGGCGATGAAATATTGGAAAAACGTGAATCACGATTCCTAAAATTGAACAATACTCGAAGCAGATGAAATTTTTCAGAAGCAATATTCACTAATCCAAATAACTCGAAAGTATTGGCAGGGCAGTAATTTGTTATTGCAAGCTGCTGTATCATGCTTGTCAAAAATAACCAGTGGCCACTTCAAGCCCGTGTATAGTAAACAATGTCTGCTAAATAGTTTGCTAACTGTGATTCTAATCCGCTTAATGTATCACTTGTAGTTGAGGTGTAAATTAATTTCTCTAACATCATTCAACCCTTTATTTTATCGGGGAAATAATGACTGGACATTGGATCATTGGTCATTGTCATATGTTGTCGACACATGCATTCGTATTTCGCATCTTTCATGAAAGATGTTGATGCTATGCGAAGTAAACATTGTCTACTGCTAGACAACATGATGTGTGTCAACGTCTTTTGCGCCATTAATCAGCTTTTCTCGAGGTCATACTAAATTAAGTATGTTATCACAAGTAATGCTTTTATTGGCTTAATCAATTTGCTCTCCTCAGTTAGAATTTATTTTAGTTTAGAAATATTTTTATCGACTACCTCACATTGTCGGGAAGCGACTACCGAAAATACAAAAAAAAAATATTTACATTGAAATGCAAACGGTTTGTGATAAGTCAAGAAAATCAAAATGAAAGCAAATAAAACCTTTCAAATAAATTCTAAAGAGACAAAAATATTTATCTACACAGAAGTGGCTCCATTGGATAAATAATATCTTTTTGAAAACGATAATCTGGCGTTTAGAATAAGAGAAGTCGAAGTATTTAAATGAAAGGGTCCTCTTGTCTCTCAATCAAAATCCTGATTTCATGTCAAGTAATTGAGAGAGATTTCGAAAAAGGACTAATTACATCATTAAACCATAAAAGCAAAACAGGGGAAATGATTTACGGTGTTCACCACGCAAATTAAACCGAATCAAAGATACCATAAACCAACTGTTGATTACAAATTCATCAAATCCGTCGGAAGTGCTTAGTCAATTTGCGGAACATGCCTTTTGATATTAAAATTTGAATTTAATTACTCCAACCAGCCAAATTGATTACGCTACGGCAAACAACTTTGCTAAAGACTTTATGGCAGCTCATATCGAAAAATCTGCTACCACCGAGTAATAAAGTTAGATCATTATTTAATTGCCCAGTAAATAAAGCGACGGTAATTACATGATAACTTTACACCAAAACTTGAGCAAAGAATGAGTGATTGCTTTTAACTCAAAAGTATTCATACGATTTAAAATAGAAAGAAAAAAACCGAATTCTGCTAAAATTGAACATTCATTTCGATGTCGTGTCGATACATAGTAATTGGCTCTAAAAATATATCGACAAATAGAAAATTAATCCATAACAATGAGCAGCATATTCGATGACATTATGTAAATATGCAATCTTTGTGAATCATCAATCGCACAAGCGTTTGGTCTTCGTGTTGAACGCATTTAGGTGCAAGTGGTCGTACACGTACTGTGTCTACGTGGAAGAAATCGATATTGTTTCGTGATGGATTTTTTTGCCTTTTTTTTGTTTTTCTTTCAATTCCATCCAATTCGTGTTCACGTCACTCAAAACTCCTGATAAAATCATTACACGCTATTTCTGTTAAAATTTTGTGGTGATAACGTTTACGGGTCATAGTCATATGGTCGCATACGAAAGAGTTTTTACACTTGGAATGGAGTTGGGAAGACAGAACAAAAATACGGTGGTGGTTACATTCAATAACTGAATAATAATAGAAAATTAAGTCTGCAAATCAATTTTTATTTCACTTTTCTACGAAATGCCGTTGTATTTCTTGGAAATGACAATTGCCTTGTTTTTACCTCAAAATATGGGCGAATATTCAATGTTGATTCTTTTTGCAGCTACAAAATTAACGACGACACTACAGGAGTTTTCACTGAATAACCATCAAATGGATGCGGCCTGTCGCGTTTTGCCGAATTCGCTATTAGGTAAATTGATTTGGTTTTATTGCTTTTAATTTCGACACTTATGAAATACTGTTAGAAAGTCTATGAAAATCCACGAAAAGGAATGCATTGAAAAGATAGATGAACTACGAACTTCGTTCCATTAACCATATTTCAATTTCCATAGGTCTCTCCACGGCATCAGTAAACAATTCATTATTGTTGAACAACAACAACAATTCGGCTCGAACGAATTTTACAAATAAGCAATTAACGGAATTAGAAAAAGAATTTCACTTCAACAAATATCTGACAAGAGCGCGACGCATCGAAATAGCAAACGCACTGAATTTGAACGAAACACAAGTAAGGGCAATTGTACTTCATTTTGGTTTTAATTAGGCGTAAATTGTTTTAAATTGTATTTGTCGCCCGATTCGAAAGGCCGTTCAATGAATGTAAATTGGGTTTGTTTTCATTTTAGGTTAAAATATGGTTCCAAAACCGTCGAATGAAGCAAAAGAAACGCATCAAAGAAGGCCTAATACCAGCCGAACCGTTGAACCAATCACCAACCAATTCATCGCAAACCATGACTAACGAATCACATCTACCCGGCAGCAGCGAAAACAGTCGAGATTCAAATCAACCATAATTACAATTGTATCATTTCGAAAATGCATATATATATTCCAATCGTTCACCATTTGAAAAGGAATAAACCATAGAAAAAGAGAGTGGAAAGCAAAAATTGAGCATAAGAAATTCAACTGAACGACTTTTTATAGAATTTTATTGTATTTATTTAGTTGAAGTTGATGCAAAGCCAAAGTTAGATAATAAATGTTGATAAGAAAAACGCGCGCAAGCCAGCTTTTACGCTTGGATACGTTCGATCCCAGTAGTAGACGTTAATTCATAAATTACAAGTAGAATATTAATTTATATTTCACACATTATGACGTGTTTCAAACAATATTTGTGGAGGTCTATCGTTCTGTCATTCGCATGTAACTTTAACGAGAGCAAAAAAAATGTTTCTTAATTTTCATTTTTGATTCACGACTTTGTCCAGAACAATGAACGTACTTACAAATTCGAATACATAGAATAATTGCATCGAGTGGAAGTTTTCTTCTTCTACTATGAGTAATGTATTTCGGCACCTAATTTCAACTTATCATACAATGTTGTGTTTCTAACGAGTTATTTGTGAATCGGGCGGAGAACTTCAAACGACAGATAACAGAATAATCCATCAGACTATTATTAACGACTATTAGAGAGAGGAAAAAAATAAACAAACGAAAAGATAGGTTTTAAAGTATGATTATAACTGTACATATTTCAAAATCAGTTAATGAAGTAAATACAACTTCAAACCATTCTCCTTAAGTTAGACATAAGAACACTCATTTTGAATTTTCTTCTCAGGGATATCGAAAATAAATCAAATAAATGCAAGCCACAACCATTTTTCATTTTATTTAACTGCTAACAATAATTGCGGAATGGCCGTTTCATTTATGGTTTCCACTTTGAATGGCATACTTTTAGTATGAGGTAAGCTATTCAAAACACGCAAACCTGTGAAAAAAAGAGAAGGAAAATACATTCGCATGCGAATTTTGTGCACCATATGAATTTGTAGGTTGATCTTTGAACAAATGTGGATAATTCTATGCATAATCCTCATTTCGAAGTTTAAAATTGTCAAAGCTTTTGTAGAAATAAAAGTTGGCATCTCCATCCATCGAACAGTGTTATAGAACATTGGGTTAAAGCTTCAGCTAGTTTACCGCTGAATATATAGATGGCTCCAAAATCATATTTTACGAAGGAGTTCTTTTTTTGTTTTAAATGCACATATTTTTATTTTATGTTTGATGACTCCAAAGTGGTATTCTGAGCGCACACGTGAACAAGGCATTTGAACAATGAACAGAGCTCAATCTATTTCCACATACAAACATTTGTATTTTTCAATAAATACAGTTTTCATAATATTCACTATTTATTGCTTTAACATCCTAAACTATTCACAAATAAATGCAGTAACACTTTTGATTATAACGGCGAACATGTTACCATGATTGGCCTATCGACTTCAGCTGAGAATTGACAGTTAGAAAACCAGAATGATAATCACCGTTTGAGAATGAAGTAGAAAGGCGACGAGGAAATACGATGAGTGTGAAATAATGCGCTTTTTGTGTACTCATACATGCAAATTGAAAGGGTCAGCAGTAAATATCAACATTCAACGGCGAATATTAAACATCGAACATTGTATTTACCTCGCGTCTCGACTGCTCGGTAATCGTAACCGCAACCACAAACACATCAACGATGCAGAATGCTATACTTTTTCTACGTTTACGCATCGTTTTTCTTTCACTTCGTTCGTTACTACGTACATTTAGTGTGAGTGTAGATATTGATGTACGTTCGCATCAACATGACTACAGTCGATAGAGGCTATCAAAAGTGGGCGCTCATGTTGACCGTATGATCAGTTGTGTTGCGAATTTGTTCATCGTCGGACCCATCAGCTCGTGAAAACAACATCGGACGCATGTTTACTAGTAAGTTCGGAATGATCATTTGGTGGAATATGTTCCAGTTTTATTATCAAAGTTAACCTGATAAGAAAGAGTTTCGCTATTGTTTTCAATGGTGTTGAATAATTTTGTATAAATTCAAATCGACACTCGACTTTCGACTGCAATTCGTATTATTTGGTTTTTAATAACAGAAGCTGATTTAATGGAATTTTCAATCGACTGTGTTCTAGCGAAGAGTTAAAGGTTAAGACAGTGTTCTGACAGCCGTGTTATGCCTAACGAATGAGGAAAGCACGAATATGTGTAATAATCATGGCTACGGAAAAGTTCATGAACCGACATGGAAGAATTATCGTTTTAGTGACTCATTGCTTTTTACGACCTCAATGATTTGTTTGTCGAGTTTAAGGAAGTGGTGCACGACGGAAAACATAGCATTTTTGCACTTATCTGCGAAGTATGCATTTTCAAAAAGAATTTGCTGTACTATGTGATAAACAAGAGCAACAAACATTTTGAACACAATGCATCAAGTGATATAAACGGTCGATGAGCTTCTTTATGAAGGCTTTGTCGCCTAGTATTCATTCTTATAACAAGGCTTTGTCATTTTTAAGGTCTAGTTCAAAGTACTCAGCACTGTCACGCTCAAGTGAATTCACTCGCATACATAAAAGGAGGAGTAACATCTGTTCACTAACCTGAACGGGGTCTCGTGTTGAAATGCAAAAAGTCATTCTGAAATATTTGAAAATATCTTGCAGTTTGTTGTTTTCATTTCAGCTTTCCAGTTTTAATTGGTGGTTTGCAAAAATTGAATTGTTCAGAATAACAACAAAATATTGCTATAAAAATTCTATTTTTAGGCCTGTTTTTCAGAAACTCTGACGTGAGTTATGCATATTTCAATCTAATTACAGGTGAACCCAGAACCTCAATATAATGACGACAGAGAAACGATTCTCGCAAATTGCTCATAATTATCCATCATTCCAAGAGATCAATCCGGTGAAACTGAACGCATACAAGTAAGACAATTCAATATTGTTCATTTACTCATTAAATTGTAGATAGCTGAAAACATGTAATTCAAAACTTGTGCATAACTAGAATATTAAAATTTAATAGAGAGAATGTTTTTTTCCTATTGAATTTGATAACAAAATGTATTTCAAGGTCAAACCGGTCATTTGCTGAATATGTTTTTTGCTATTTTTTATGCTATTATTAAAAATGAAAATGCTGATATCTGTGAAATGAGTTTATAGTGATTAACAATTGCGTTCTACAGATGGATGCAAAGTAGGCAACAAGATGATAATGCTGAGGGATTGTGGCGGGTACATGATACTCTGTATGACCTGACCGAATTTATTAATTGGCATCCCGGTGGCGCCGACTGGATCAAGCTGACAAAAGTAATGTTTGCCAAATTTATTACATGAGTCAATCAGTTAATTAGTTTCCGGTTTTTATTTTCATGGATTTTGCATCTGGCATTTCCAGGGGACGGACATAACAGAAGCATTTGAGGTACACCACATCAACTATGCCAAAGCCGAACATTTGTTACAAGATTATCGTGTTCGTGATGCCAAACTTCCAAGAAACTTCAAATTCACTTTCAAAGAAACTGGTTTTTATCGGACACTAAGACGTCGCGTTGCTAAAAAGCTGAAAACATTGAATGTTAAACAAGCCGAATTGATGACGAAAGTATGAGCTATTTTTATTCGCTAGAAAGAAACGTTGAACTAAAATTTACCCATTTGCAAACAGGTTATCATTGACGTGCTGTTGGCTGTAACTTTTTTAACATCGATACTCAGCGCCAAATTTGACAACAGATACATAATGGCACTCTCTGCCCTTTGCATGTGCTACACGGTCATTTCTGCGCACAATTTCTTCCATCGGCGGGATAATTTCCGAATGTTCTACTTTAACTTGTCGTTTTACAACTACCGAGAATGGCGTATCAGTCATGCAATGTCGCACCATTTGTATCCAAACTCGATACACGATCTGGAGGTTACACTGTTCGAACCGGTTTTATGTTGGATACCAAGCCAAGTGAAGACGCTCGGACAACGTTTTGCTTCGTGGATTTATTCACCAATCATCTACATGTTCATTATGCTCGATCAACTCGTGAAACGTATAGTTTTTTCATTCACAACCAAAACGAATTTATTCCAAATCAATGATTTGGTGCCCTTGGCCGTACCGCTTGCGATGCTCATTTTCGGCAACCCAAATCCATTCACCGTTTTCAAAATGTGGTTACAAATTATCTTGGCTAATAGCTTTATCTTTCATCTGATCGGATTGAATGCCGGACACCATCACCCTGATTTGGTACACGATGGCGATAAAATTCGGTTCGTTTTTCGCAACAAATGCTCTTTTTTTTATTAAATCAATGCTGAATTATGACAGACGATACTTTTCAACATCAAATCCGATCATAGCGACATTCTTTGTTGAATAATATTTGGTTGTTTTTAATTACAGAGAGGATTTGGACTGGGGAATCTACTCAATGGACACAATAATGGATAACTCAGATCTGAGAAAGCATCATTTCCTTGCTTTAACCCATTTCGGTCACCATGCACTTCATCATCTCTTCCCCACTGTCGATCATGGCATTCTATCCAGTTTGTATCCAGTCTTGTTTGAAACAATGGACGAATTTGAAGTCGAACTCGAAGCTTATCCATGGTATCACCATGTATACGGCCAATTACGACAACTAGCACGGAATACTCCCAAAACATTCGATTCATTGGAAAAATTGCGGCGCAAACAAATCCAGAAAAAAATCGATTAGTTGTGCAAAATGTATTGATAGATAGTTTACATTTTGAAAAAGGTGACAACGTGATATTTTTGTATATTTCTGTTTTGATTAATTGACATTTCTGTAGAAATCATGTCACTGTAAATAAAGATAATAATCAAAAAATAGACTGTGTTGCAAATGAAATACTTACTGTTCAAGTGGCTATAATTAAAAACACGACACGGGAACGAGGCTACTATGCTTGAATAATAACAGCATTGCATATCGTCACGGCTGCAATAAAACTGTGACTGGAATCTCTGAATTACTTGGTTTAAAACAAATTGGTACTTTTCGCAATTTTTTTCTTCATTCATATAGAAAACGCGTGATGTTATCGTCAAATAAGCTTATCATACAATAAATATATTGTATACAATGGATTGGCTACTTTAGGTGAAATTTATCACCGGATTCATTTCATAGCTCACAGTTCGCCGGAAACAACAATACTTACGTTTGAAACTTAAAAAAAAATTAGCAAAACTGTAAACATTATCAAATCTTTAAATGGCCAAGATACAGATGTCAAAAATGCAACACTAAATACGTTCATTGTGTATAACAACATACAAATTTATTACGTGCTTTCTTCAATTTGTACTTTTTTCGTATATCTATTTCTCATATCGTTCCTTTTACCACTTATTCAACAGAAGACTATTTTAAGATTCGATGTGCAAAATGTCAGCAATTTACATGACAACTTTTGTGCGAATAATATATGAGTCTCAAATTTCCATTTTCAAGATAAATTTTTATTGATTTCTCAATTTTTTTGGTGTTTATTTAAATAATTGTTCAATTTTGTTCAAATAAATAGTCAATTCTTTCATCTTTTACATGTGTTCGATGTGTATCGTAGCTATTGGCAAGTGTTTTGCCTCTGTAAATTTGTTTTAAAAAGTAAGATACATCTTTCCTTCGAATAAATAAAAACAAAATTAAGTCATATCAGGTTAGTTGATAAGATTTAATCAGAATTAGAATCGTTGACCGCGTCTGGGTTCAGTAAAAATGCACTGATAATTCCAGCAATTCGTTCGGGTGTTGTCAAATGCAAGTGATGTGTGCCAGGCACTTCATGATATTCAACGGTTGCATTTTTTCGTATGGCATCAATAACCATGGGGTAAACCTCTTCTCTTTCATGTTTCATTCCAGGCACCGCCTTGATATTCAGCACATGGCATTTTATAAGCTCTGCATAAGCTAATACTTGCTCTATTGAAAAAAGACCCAAAATGGAAACTTTCAGTCGAAGATCTCTGGAGAAGAAGTAACCGTCTTTCGAACGATTCTTTGGTGCTTCGTTCATTCCCCGGATCATCAAAATCTCAGCGGATTTCCGATCAATCGATCCGTCGTATGCATCCATAGCCACTGAGACCATTTCGTCGTACGAATAACATGGAAGCTTTGATTCAGGCAGCGTTTCATATTCCAGCGCTTTGTCAATACATTTTCCGGTCATGGCAGCGTACTTTTTCAGATTTCTAATCGAAGGTCCATACAAATCTATGCTAATATACTGCGAAACGTCGTCGGGAAATGAAGCCGCATACATGAAACACACAGCACCGCCTAAAGAATGACCCAAGAGTTTTACCTTTTCCCAACCAAAGTGCTTCACAATTCGCCGTACGAGTGGGACAAAATCCCAGAAAATATGGTACTGAACACCGGGAGGGAATGGAGACGATCGACCATGTCCAGGGAAATCTATGGCCAAAACTGGAATTGTCTTTGGTAACAGTGGAATTAGTCGATCAAATGTTCCAGCATTGTCTTGCCATCCGTGAAACGCTAATAAAGGCTGTTTATCGCGATCTCCATACCATTTGCCGGCTACATGGCCCCATGGTACATTAATTGTTATTTCTTCCCATTTCCGCTCTGGTATCTTCACTTCACCTAAAGAACAATTGGAAGAAAAAACTTCGTCATTCAAGCTCGTAATTGGGGACACCTACGTTTTTGGTTTTTGTTTAGTGTTCAATGTTCACATGAAAAAAAGCAGCATGTGTTTGCGTAAACATATATGTTTATATATAACATATATGTAGAAAAAAAAATATGAACCATTCACAATGAATCGACACTTTTCTATGAAGTATAAGATTAATCTACGATTTAGACGCGGAAAAAATGAACTTTGTCGTTATCTTGTTCAATGACGTCAATACATGTTTCACGAATTACTTATTTTACGGCGTTTTGCTTCCAAACAAGTTTGAACAACGGTCAAACTCTATGAGTCAAATGAATTATCTTTACTAAAATTCAATAGCTACGATACAAATGCGTAATCATTTCATGAAAAATGAGCTGAAAATTGTATTTATAACACTTTTTTTTTCGTTGGTCATATTTTATCGGGTAAATTCGATTAGTCGTACTTTCAGATTTAGATATCATAGAGCGGGATATTCACACAGATGTGCATTCGCACATGTGCACTTTGAAGCGACCTTCAAAGTGTATGCGAAAAACTGGATTGCAACCACTAGATAGCTCATATAATCGATTGATGATAGGTAACTAGACTTCTTTTTATTTGCAATGCAAATGCGTTAAGTCCGATCAAAATTGGCGTGATTCATTTAACATTCGAAGGGAAAAGGACTCGAATAAAGTAATTAACACGAATAAATTGAACTTTGCAAATGCAGGTCATTACACATTTCGTCATTATTTGTATATCTGCATTAGTTGACCCTGTTTTTTTTCGAAATAATTATAGAAGTTGTGGCAAACAACAACAATAAAAAAGTGCACGATATTCTGCGCATAGAATGCGTTGCCGACAATAATTGGCTATTTGTGTTCACGATTTCAATCCTGTTATACCATTTTCTTTATGCAAATTGCGTGATTGCTAGCTCAAATTTATTCGATTTTTCAACTTACTTTGATGAATTTCCCCATTTGCTGTTGAACTAGCCTCATCAACGTTGTTGGATGACAACACTTTAGTATCAGGCATGACTTGCTTTTTGTAATTATGGGCTTATACGCCGAAATTTTGGTTGTAATAATTCTAATCAAGTCTGATTTTCGTTTTTAAATTCCCGAATAAATTACTATTCGTATGATGATTTTTTTGTCTTATTTTGTTCACTGTCAAACAACTAACACTTTACTGCATGTGGTGTGATAAGTTCATGGCCCATTCACCCTAATCACTTGTTCATGAATGATGACTGATAAATCTGATATTAACTAGAAATCGATAAAGTATCACCCGAAGCCACGTCTTTGTAACGAAAGCAACTAAAAACTTATTAGATTTAACAACTAACTATACGACAATTTACTTTGCTATCGATACACAAAGAGACAGAAAACAATTCTGTCGTACACACGAATGTCTGCCTCGTGAAATTGACTTTCAACACTGAACTGAACGCTTGTCTGAACCGCAACTTCCTTGATACCTAAATGTAAATTTCACAATCGCTTTTTTTACCTCAATTAACGAATTGTACAAATGTCTTTTGCTGAGGAGGGAAAGAGAAAAGATACTGACAGTGGAAATATTACGCGATGTAGACAAAACAGCTGATAGTTTCGTTCCCCTTCATGCGTTCGGGTTCCCTATTGACAAAACTTCAATTCTTAGAATAGAAAAAATGACATAATTTGACTGATATTTTCAATGACAATATACAATTTGCTACTGATGTATCAATATTTCGAAAAATCTGTCAATTTTTTTTTTAAAACTACGAGAAAAATTCGTTTTCATAAAACGTTTTTGGTTCAACTGCACATGTCTCACAGCGTACACTGTTAGTTGCCGAACATACACTGAAATGTCAGACGTAATGGTGTAGAATGGTTTATCATTGTCTCCACGTATTTGACGTCGGCTGGATGTCATTTCACAATTCATCACGTACAAATCGACATTCGATCCTCAAATTTTTCGTCATTAACATCATTTTTCGGCATTCGTCGGACGAATTACATTTAGAAACTTTACTTAATATGAGTAAAAATCATTGTAACTAATAATTGAAAAAAAATAAAACACAGAAATTGTAAATTATTGCCGAATCGATCAAAAGAAAAAAATTGTGAAAAACTAAAAATGTAAGTGTCTGTAGGATAGTGTAAATATACGGTGGGAAAATTTATTGAGAATTCACCTGATCTAATTAAAGTATCCGAATCGAAGGACACAAAACCGACACGACGAAAATCGATAGACAATTGATTTGTTCGGACGTGGCCGTTGTACATTTGTCAGTGTAAATGGATTACGTGTGTGTTCTACTTTGAATAATTTTTTTTCTCGATTTTTTCCATATTTACAGATCATTGTCCAAATCGTCAAACCACTCCAATCATGAAGCTCATTTCGATTGGATCGTTGTTTGTAATTTTTCTACTGACTGGATCATTAAACTGTGATAAAGAAGACTACGACAACGATTTTGCTGAGTTTGAGGATTTTGATACAGATGATGACTTCGTAAAGGTTGCGGCCGATCGAAATGAAGCAGATAGAAAAGGCAGTGGCGTAGATAAATCAGAAGGAGCTGCACTTGGTGGCAACGGCTTTGCAGGTGAAGACGCCGAAGATGATGGAGTTGTAGAAGATGAAGATAGTGAATTTGATCATTTTGAGGATGAAGAAGAATTCGAGGGATTCAACAAAGACTCTTCAACACCACCAGTTTTCGACCAGAAAACTGGCGAGCCAAAACTCACCGTGGCCAAGGTGCCATTGCACTTTGGGTGAGTATTTCTATTCAATATTTGGTAGCGGGCCATATCATGGAAAATCAATTTCTAATTCAACATTTTATGCTCTCTCATTTTGGTACAGAGCCCACTGGAAATCATATTGGATGGAAATGATTGCAATTGCTGGATTGTTAGCCTACTTTGCAAACTATTTCGTCGGTCGAAATAAAAATTCGAAAATTGCCAGTCTCTGGCTACAGACTCATCGGCAATTGCTCGAAGACAATTTTGCTGTGATCGGCGATGACACGCAAAAAGAACGCGAAGGCCCAGACGGTTTCATTAAAGAAAGCGAAAGTGTGTATACTCTTTGGTGCAGCGGTCGCACATGCTGCGAAGGCATGTTGGTCGAATTGAAATTGATCAGACGCCAGGATTTGGTGGCCATCGTTTCCGATTTGATGAAACCATCACAAGACCAATTGCATATCAAAATTGAACTCTCACCTGAAATTATGGATCCGTTTGTGTTCTGCGTCGCATCGAAACGTACAGCTTCGAAATTCTTTAAGGAAATGTATGATTTGGTGAGTATTTGATTGAGTCATATTCCAAATGCGACTATGTAGCTAATTCTCTGATTTTTGTTGGTCTCTTCCAATCTGCAGAGTAAATTCTGTATTCTAGTCAATAATCCTGAATCTAAGTACAATGTGCCAAGCGGATTCGCGGTGCTCTCGGAAATACCAGAAGCGTCAAGCGCTATTCTCGATTCACGTGTTTCAGCCATGCTGTCCAAATACAGCCACTTAATTGATTATATTTATGTTTCGGATCAGTACAACGGTGCCATTTCGCAAGAGGACACAAGCCAACAACTGAAAATGCCCGATGTGAAGAGTCAACTCTTGCTTGGATTCAATTTGCCCAAGGCAAACGATATGGAATCGGCCAAACCGTTGATGGTTCTCGTATTCTACTTGCTCGAAAAAATTAAGCGATACCGTTTATCAAAGGAAGGCCAACAGAAAGCTGACAAAAACCGTGCACGAGTCGAAGAAGAGTTCATGAAGAGCACTCACGCTGCTAGAGCCGAAGCCGCCGCACAGCGTCGTGAAGAAAAACGTAAATTGGAAAAGGAACGAGTGATGGCCGAAGAGGATCCAGAGAAGCAACGCCGTTGGGAGAAGAAAGAACAGAAGCGCCAACAAAAGCGCAACCAACCAAAAATGAAGCAACTTTCAGTGAAAGCCTTGTAAATGATACTTCGTAAAGTACAATCATAATCGCAAGCAATTTTACTGTAAGAGATTTTGTCTTTAGTATTGTTTTTTCTTTCCGTTTCAACACATTAGAATAAGGTATATACTCTATACACTCACGACAAAATAATAAATCGTCGCAAATACCATTAATAATCCTGCATTTATATTGAGTCGTACGAAACCTTTACATTGACTTCAAATCCTATCTACCAAATTTAATACACAAATTGCATTGATTCAATAATAAGGTCGAGTTGTAACCTTTCAAATTTAGCATAGTTTCTATGTGTAAATCTGAAATTCGATTGAACCAATAAAAAAAAGAAAAAGAAAATCACAAATGACTGACTGACTGGTTGCTTATTATCTGTTTGTTTTGATGAAATTCCGCGGCTGAAGCTCGTTTATGTCGATCGATTGCTAATGCAAAAAAATTGTTTATGCATAGCTTGAATTGGATAAATAATGTCTAAAAATAAGTTGGCCAAAACCAAAACATCCTTTCCGAATCATAACAGACACATATTCTTGAACAAAAATAAATATTCATTAATACGATTTCGATGTGCTGATAGACACCAATGGAAATTCGAACCGTTGATTGGCGCAACCGACAGTCATTAGTCCACCAAAACAGTAACTAACGCGAGCAACATTGTTTATTTACTGTCAAGAGGAGTTTGTTTATACACTTGAAACTTAATGTGTCGCCTCCAAAATTATTCGTCGTCATCATCATCGTCTTCATATCGAAAAATAAACACGAGACGCATCGATGGAGAAGTTATATTTTGATTGAAGTGTGATTTTGTTTCGAAAGATTTCTCTGTACTGTCAAAGTAGAAAAAATAATCGCGGTGACGGCATCCAACTCGTTCGTTTTTTACTTTGAACTGACATTGAAGAACAAAAGATTCAATTGGTGAGTGATAAAGTTTTGAATAAAACTCCAAATCCCAGTCAAAACAGGTAATGTTATAATGTCACACACAGTTAGTGTGGCATTTCATATGCGGCCCTGCACAAGGTGGACCTTGTGTGTGTGTGTGTGTGTGTGTGTTTGGAACATGCGTAGAACGGCAATTTTTCCTCCCTGGAAAATGTGTTCACATCGATTAATCATTTCGACAAACTGGAAACACACTCTTTCGCTATCGGCCACACTGTGCATTTTGTGAAATTATTTCCATCACTTCGAATCGATGTCAACCATTCTCATCTTGCGATAGAACTAGAATCATTTGAAAGCGAAAAAACAACAATCATTGGAAAACTTGATAGAAAAAAAGCCAGTTACAAATTCAAACAAACACAAACTAGTGAAGCAATTGCAATCACTTTCAAATTGGCATTGGAAAAGTCAGTGGAAAAGAACATCGTCGCTTTCACTCGAAAGTTGTTTTTTCTTTCTCTCGAAAAGTAAGTTTTAATTGACCAAAATTAAATTGTGAACAGTGCTTTTTTTTATTTGTATGTTTCGTTTAACGTGAAAAAATAACACTAATTTGGAGAGAAAAAAGTTGAAAATCAAAAAGTTTTTTATGTCGTCTGTTAACCGAATGAAAAAAGGGCAATGTGAATGCGAAGGAGAAGTACAATGACATGCTGATAAAATGGACCAATATTGTCGTCATCAGTGCACTCGTTATTATCAAGGAGACTCGGGTCTATGTGTGTTCAATTGAATTTTTAGACTATCCTCAACATCAATATGCGTCCTATTTGAACAATGACGCATTGTCAACTTTTGTTTTCATGTTGTTCGCGTCTAAGAATATAATTGCTTTTCCTCATTTTTACCGTCGAGTTGGGCATTATAGTTATTTTTCGGATAGCAAACTCATTTTTATTTTTCCACTCTGTCATTGCAATTAGTGTGTGTGTACGACAATGCTGCGATAATGAGCATATGCAATAGCATAGTCAGCATTGATCGTTATAAGTGGCTCAATACGACATATAACCTTTGTCGAACAGTTCACGCTGAGCACAGTTCATCAACGCGATATGTGTAAAAAAAATTTATTCATTCTCGCTTACGATACACAAATGTGTACAAGTTCCATATCAAACGTTCGTTTTTTTTCTCTTCTTCTTCTGTTCATACGGCCAAATGTATTTCGTGAACTTTAAAGCGAACAACAGTGACGACAACAACGACAATTATAACACCATCAAGCCTCAATACATCGTTGACAACGTATCGTATTAGAACACTACTTTGGAGCAGAGCACACAGGCACAACAAAAACACAGAAAGCATTTTTGTTTTTATGCAGCAGCAGCAGCAGCAGCGGTGGCGATAGTAATAGTGTTTTCATTCGTATGTCTATCTATCTTTCGCACACCAGCAGTTTGCGATATACGATATAGCGCAAAGTATAGCTGTTTAAATGGACCTATACATGTGCACACATAATGTGTACAGCCACACATATCACTCATAGCATCAGTGTTTAATGTGGCCTGAATGAAAAAGACACACTCAATTCGTGAACACTGCTCTAATGTGATGTGTGGAAAGAGCAAACGAAACGATTCTCTGATATTTATGTATACAACAGCACTACAGCGTGTTGGCCGCGTATTCTTCTTATTTGAAAATAACTTTTAGTTCAATGATAAAACTCCAACGATACGGGGTCGGTGTAAATTTATATATACATTTTTTTTATCGCTCACGTACTACATCATTCGGCTCTGATTGCCTGCATTTTCGCTTTTTTACCTTAATATTTTTTCACTGCACAGACAATAGTTGAGCATTTTTTATCTTCTCTTGACCTTTCTTTAGTTTCGCTTTCGTTTTCAACTTTCGCGATCGATACAGCACAAAACAGACATCATTTCAAAAGAAAAGAGTGTTTTAAACGGTGTGTGTTAGGGTGCATCAACATTCTGCTACATTATTGATTCCAAAACAAGTGCAAATTAAGTGAAATTAGTACAGCGATTGCAGCCACCGTTACATGCAATTTAGAAAAATAGCCCAAGTTCGATGAAAATGTAAAAATTAAAAAGTGTTTGCATAATCCAAAAATATTCTGCATGAAAATGTGATATGTTTTATCGATTTGTTTTTATCAAATCAACAATATTGTTTACATATTGTTTTGTGCAGCCCAAATTGAAGTTATCGCTTGAATCACTAATTTTCTAAAATGTCATAAGTGAGGTTATAGTCTCACTCATTTATCTGTGTTGGAAAAAGACGAAAAAGTTACATGAGAAACGTTGCTAGCACCCGTCGGCTTGTTAGAATGGTCTTTGTATAGTTCGAGTCACCCTAGTTTGTATACGTGAGCGCATATAAAGTATGTGTGCTATGTAGATGAGCAGCACGCGTGTATATGTATATACATAACAGAAAACGCTTCAGCGAAAAGAGAAAGACAAACAGAAAAAAATGGATAAAATAATATTGAGTGAGTGTTATAGAACGGCGCTAAATTTAGAATATACACAGAGTCTATGTTGAGTTGTAGCCCAAGAGGAAAAAGCGTGAGAACGAATATTTCTCTAAAAATACATCGGAAAATATTGGAGCAATAAAAAACACACAGCGAACCGAGTGGAAAGAGTTCGGAAAAGCAATTTATTTTTCTTAGTGAAAATACCGAGATTTTTTTTGTCGTCATCTTTCTCTCAATCAAAGAGAACGCATATCAAAATTGGTTTGATAAACATTCATTTTGAACGATAAAGACAGCGAGGGTTCAGTTTCTGCAAAAATTGGTTAGATTTTTGAATAAAACGTATTGTTGTTACGTGGTTGAGAACGAAAATTATTCAAAATTCCCATATTTCAACGTAAATGCAGAGAAAAAAACAGTGAGCGAGAGAAAAAAAAATGGGAGAATATGTGAATGACGAGCAAAACAAAAGCGAATGAAAATTATGCACACCAACGTAGAGTAGAAAAATGCGAAAAAGAATTTCAAATAAAAGTGAATTATACAACGCCATTAATATGCTAAATATCATGTGCGTTAAATATGGCAATTTGTTGTTTTTTTTGTCTTTGCGACACCTTCATTCGTAAAATTGGAACGTTAACAGCGACAATGCGATGGTACAATTTAAGTTGCAAGTTGAAATTTGCGTTTACGTATGAAATGCATTTTAAAGTCATTCGACCGAAGTAAATTCACTTCGATACATAGGGTTCAAATGAAATCGAATTGCATTTCGATTTTGGAAAGTCGAATGTATTCATAATAACGAGAGCCCAATTCATTGAATTCAAATTCATGACTCAAACAGTAACATGCATAGATTGTTTTTCTCGCTGCCAAGTATGTAATTAGAGCGACGTCACGACATGTTTATGCGCGCGAAAAATTGCTTAACACGGTCGTTTAAACACCTTTTAATACCATTAATTTATTGTATTTGTTCTTGTCTCGCTCATGGAATGAAACGCATTTAACACGTTTTTTTTGTCGATCCGCGTTTGACTTGTACAATATCAGCAGAATCGAAATAATACACACGTTTTTACGCAACGCAATGAAAGTTTGATATTTTATTCGCAAGAACATATGCGTAATTCCATCGATACAATCGTGTGAAAATGTTGCTTGTATTGGCTCTTTCTCACGATTGACAGCTTAAAAACAAACACACTGTTTTTAGTTACACGTCGAAATGAAATGCCTGCGAACGAAAAATAAAATACACGATGGCATTCTCCCTCTCTCTATGTCAGTCGTCGTTTGACCTTTAAATTGTGGCCAAGTGTTTAAGAGTTATTTCGCTTTTTTTTTCTTAGCAGGAAATGGAAATATCGATCGAATTACATTGGTTTCAGTATTAATTAAACCATGTTGACTTGTGTATTTTCAGGGAGATTCCATACATACTTTTGCATAAGAGAGACATTTTAATGAGGCGCAAACAGTGAAAGAGACACATAGCAAACTGCCGACATTGACGTTCACTTGCAAATAACATATGCCTCTGACCACACTCCTGACCAACAAATGTATGAGCGGAACAAAATTCGATCGACAGCCGGTCGGTGAAATACTTGGAAGTGCATCATAGTGGAAAATCGTACATTCTCACCGGGAAAGTTTGTGGCTACGATCAAACTGCAAAGAAAGTCTTACACAAACCGATTGTAGTTTTTTTTTTGAAGTGATTCCACAGCTTCCGACGCATTTGATATTCAATAAAATAAAATGGGCAACTACTGCAGTTCCGGTCAAAACAAAAAGGATAAAGACAACCTTTCTCAAAAGTCCGAAGAGTGAGTGTGTCAACTTTGACCTTTATTTATTGATTCAAAATATTTCGAAAGAATTTTTTCCTTGCAAATATTAAATGAAAATTCTAATTTGATTCACAGTTCACCTACTTACCAATTGACAAGTAAAAGCAAAACCAAGAACAAAGACAAAAATAAAGAAAAACACTACTTGAAAGAAGCGCCGTTGGTCGATCCGGAGCCGACATCAGATATATCAAACTTTAACGCACCATCAAATGCTCAAAGTGCAAACAATGGAAATGTCACCAGTGACGTTACCAAACCAACAGTAAAAGCTCTTCAAAGCACTCTATCAACGCATGGTAATTGAAATAGTGCGGTCAGTTGTTGTGTGTATTTAGGTGACATTATCGAGTGTTTTATTTTTATTTATAGACTCAACCTCCGGTTCCCCATTAGCAACCGATGCACCATGTGAACTCCCCGCTGAGTCGAAAATCCAAAATCTGCCAGGCAATTTAACATCTATTTACGGTAAACCATCATTGAGCAGCCGTCGAACGGAGAATGATTGCAAAATTGTTCTCTACATTTTGGCTGCAAATGAGCACAAAGGCGAGAAAAGCGTGTTGAAAGGTCTGTACGCCGAACTTCAACGGTATTGTGCTTCGCGTGGATTCGATTTGCAATTGTGTGACTTGCACGAAGAATCGGAAAACTTTTTGGATCCAGAATGTTGGGTGAATGAACCGATCGAAGCCAGAGGTGGTCATCAGTTGGCTGCAGAATGTTTATCGGAAATATCAAGTAAATTATTACGCAGATAATGTTATTTTGGCGTAGAAGATAAATTAATTAATTTATGTATTTTCCCGTTGAAGGACACTCGAATACGGCATACATTGTTCCAGTACTTTTCTTGGGAACGTCATTAGGCAGTCCATTGTTGCCGTTAACCATCGAAAGTCAGGATTTTGCCGGAGCAATAAGTACTACTGCAGAAGGATCAGACGAGCGCCAACTACTCGAAGCATGGTACATTCTCGATGAAAAAGCCGAACCAATGTGCTATCGTCTGAAAACTCAAAACGTCACTGCCAACGCTGATGCGGTCAATGAATTGCAAAATCTGTATAAAACAATCACCGACATTTTCTCCAAAGAGCTGCGCGACTCGTACTTGACCACCGTCATCGAACAGGAAATCAATAATATGGTGTTCATTAATCAAGAGCTGTCGAAACGATGCATTTGGGTTCATACAGGAGCATTGCCAAATAAGAATCTCGACGAAACATCGAACGAATCATCAATTGCTGTTGAAATGAATCGTCGACTTAACAATATTCAATTAGAATTAAAGGTATGTTGATTTGAAACCGAAAAAAATGAAAATAATTAAATGAATTTTTGTTTGCTTTGGATTCCACTTTCAGAATCAATTAAATGAGAAGAATTTAATCCGAATACCACCAACAGTGCAGGTGTCCAATGATCAATTGGCTGCTTCATTGAAGTCATTAATTGTTGCCAATATCGATAATATAATCAGCGACCACTTCGCCAAATTTCAAATTCCATTTTGTACATACGGCGTCGATCGAAATCTTCTGGCTGAAATTGAAGCCGTCAAACAACATTCGCAATATCTTAGCCAAAACTGCGCCAATTTCGAAATTATGGATAAAATTAAGCAGTGAGTATAGAAAATATTCGAAAGACCTGTTTGAATTGGAAATTAAATCAATTTTTCATCTGTACAGATACATCACAGCACCTTCTTCGGAACCACTTATCATATTCGGACCGGTTGGCTGTGGCAAAAGTGTACTTTCGGCGAAAGTTGAGCACTTTATCCATACATGGTTGCCAGAATGCTGTTTCATTCTTCGTTATACTCGGTTGACAGCAATATCGTCGAGTGTTAAGTCACTTGTCGGATCTGTCACCGAACAGATTTACTACTATACCAATGTTCAACCGTATAATGGACCACATGTGAGTTTTAACAGCATTTTGCTCGTTATTTTGTCGATCTTAAACTTTCATTTCAATTCGCAGACTCTTGAAAGCTATGCTGTAACACTGAAAGAGTGCATTGATGCAAGCAATTTTCACGTGGTTATCTTGATTGACTCGTTGGATGAAGCATTCGAATTAGATGATTTGAGCTGGTTGCCAACCAAACTAAATGACAAAGTGAAAGTAATCATTACGACAGCAACGACCAGCGCCAAAGTGGATAGCGTCGACAAATGCGAGAGTAGCGATGTTATTTTGTGGCACCTCAAAGATCGCATTTCAAAAGCCAACTTCGTACATTTGAACCAATTCTCAGACCATAAATGGAGTGAAGTGCTCAGCTATGGCGGTGGAGATTTCTTCTCTGTGAATCCACAGATACAGTTGCCGGAATCATGGAAGCAATGCGACGAGAGAATCCCACTCCAAGCCAAAGTAAGTTCAAACTCATGAACTAACAAATTGCTTTTAAATATAATTTTCAATCCACTAACTAAACCATTTCAATGTTCCATTTTGCAGCTATTCTGGTGGTTTGCTTGGTTGGGTGAATTCAATTTGAATGACACTTCATTGATAGCCACCTCAAATAAAATGTTTCAAACGTTGGAAACTAAGTTCGGCGAAGCAATAATAAAATATTTGGTGTCACTGTTGATTGCATCCCGTGAAGGTTTGCACGAAACCGAGATCATTGAACTTTTGAAGCAGTCGAAACTCGTTGATGCCACCAATGTGGATAAATTATGGACTAGTATCAGGTAAATTGCTGATATATTTTCTTTTTTTTTAAATGGGTATTAACTATAGACATTTATCTGTATCAGCTGGATTATGAGCCGTGGTCCGATTCTACTACAAATCAATCGTGTTCGCTTCATGGATAACAAATTGAAGAATGTCGCATGCACACGCTACCGCAATGACATTCAAAATGCCCACAATATACTGCATCAGTTCTACAAGTCGCAGCCGAATGAATATGTGGATGCAAAAGAAAAATATCAATGGTTTAATCAGCGGAAATTCAATGAATTGCCTTATCATGCATATATCGTTGATGTCCCATCGTATCCACAATCGCTCTATCTCACCGATCTAAACTGGATTCAGACCAAAATAAAAGCCACCAAATGTGTTCAATGCATTCTAAACGACATTTACTTGATCGAACTTTCATCTCGTACAAAACTCAAGCATTTAGATATTCTGCAACGTTTTCTAGAGACATTTATTCAACCTGTTAACTACGATGCTGACCAATTTTATCCATTATTCAAGCACTATTTATTGACTTGCGCAAAAAGCGACAGCGCCATCGAAGCCGATCCCATCTGCAAGAAGTGGATTCACGACTTTGACTCCATCTTTGACTCAATCTCATTTTTGGATATTCTAAATAACGCAGCCAAGGCAACATCCGATGACCCGACCAATGGATACGATTTGATATGCAATTTAGGCGGAAACGGATACTTCGTTGCATCGTTGAATACACAACGCGAAGAAATTCGCGTGTGGAATGTGCCAAGGTTGGTGGAAATTTCGGTTGATATAACATTGTCATTCTCTCCCGAACAACAAACAGAATTAATTTATTGAAATTGTTTATTCGATCGAACACAGGTCGGAGCAAGTACGAATTTTAAAGGGAATCCCCCAGCCAACTGTACTGTGTCCAGTCGACAATTATGGAGCCGCCGTTTTGTGTCAACGTGAAATCAAAATTATTGATTTAAACAAGGGCGAACTTCGGGTATTTGGCTCTATTTTATTGGCATCATTCCATTTTTAATTCAAATTCATTATGAATTTCCTTCCAGGTCACTCTCAAGGGGGTCATGAACCAGAAAATGCCGTACTTTGCATATTGTAACGATGCACAACATTTGGTGTGTTTGTCACGTAACCGAATGTATGTGAATTTGATGAATTTAGAATCGGGCGACTGTATCACGACATTCAAAGCAGGCGAAGATCGATTTTTGAATTCGTTACTCGTTTCGGGCGATGGAAGGTTCGTGTAGAAGATTGACTATTTACATACATATTTAACCCCTTTAATAATATGAACACATGTATTATATTGTAATCTCAATTTGCTTTCCAGAATTCTCGTTTGTGGCGATGAAACGCAGAAGCCATTCCCCTTACTGGTTTGGCATTTGTCGCAGCGAAAATTGTTGTACGATCTTCGAATTCCACACCATGATTTCATTACATCACTCAGCGCAATAACTCACGAAGGCTCATATGTTTGCGTTGTTACAAAAGAATTAAATGAACCATCCCCGAATTTCATTGTTGTTTATGATCTACAAAGTGGAACGTTGTTCAAAAAGTGGAAACCGTCTTGCAATACTGAGTCACTATCAATTTCACAAACGAATGCCTGTGTCATCGCTGGCCTAGAGGATGCACGCATTTTGATCTGGGATTTGGTCACAGGCAATTGCAAATTCGTACTTGTTGGGCATACCGCTCCAGTTACTCTTTTGAAGCTAGATCCGACGGGCACAATTTTATTGTCAGCCGATAAAAATGGACGTGATCGATCAGTTCGATTATGGGAATTGAGTACAGGTAAGAGTCGAATTTGTTCATCTTTCAATAATTATTTGAAGCGATTGACATTGAATACTAATGTTTGATTCTAAATCTCCTTTTTTTAAATAGGTAAATCAATCGCCGTTCACACGCCTCCGAAGAAGATAACCACATGTGAAATTTTGCCATTGGGCAAATACATCGTATTAGCATTAGAAAATCAACCAAATCTAGTCACATTGGAACTTAAGAATTGCAAAATCAAACAAATCTCAAATAACGCTGCTGATGATGATGATGATGACGAGAATGCAATTTATGGCGACGCCGAATTCAACGGCAAAACATTTCAACTGTGAAAAAATCATGTGAAATAATCGATTCAATTCTAATTTTTTTAAATCGTTAAAATTTATTATTGAAACCGACTACCAAGACAGAAATACCATCAAAACATTGATTTCATTAAAAAAAGAGAAATACTTGCAAAATAATAATTTTAGAACGACCATTTGATTGATGGTGGTCGAAGATTTTAAAGATTAGATTACATAGTAATGATAACGTTCGAAATGTTATTATTGGATCGACTTAGCTTAATCGTACCGTTTGAATTGATTTAAAACGTGATGCGTAGCTAAGCTTTAAATAGAGCAAAAGACAGCCGTCACATTTCAGGTATATAAAATTACCAAGCGTTTGATGATTATTTGTTTCTTTCCGTTATTCTCGAATCAATTTATACATATTTACCGTTTAAAACATCCATTCATATATGATCAATGTGCATTTTGTTAAATTGTTTCTTTTTGTATTCTTCCGAATCAATTGAGTCCAAAGCTAGCAACACAAAGTATAAGTAGATTCGTGATGAAGAAATAAGAGCAAGAGTGTTCTAAAAAAATCATATTCAATATAATATATATAAAAGCTACGTTGATGTATAAAGGAAAACCAAAATTTACTCGCAGAAATCGTAAATAAAATGTATGCCAATGCTCGAACTACTATTTTACAGCACAGTCTGTGACAGAAATCAGGACACTTGAAATCAGGGGGAAGAGAATTATTCTTGCCCGAAAAAGAAAAAAAAACAATGATATATGAAAATACTTAGAGAAAAATGTATCTTATTCATTGATAAAATGGCAACAAGCTCTGTAGTTAAGCCCGATGATGATGAATTAATATGAGGTTTGTTGCAGCATCAAACACTGGATCGAACAGTGTTGACAATTTCAAGCAAATCTTATAAAAGTAACACAAGAAGTCAAACATTTTTGTTGAAGATATTTATGTTGTTAGGGAAAAAAAATACCAAAATTCGATTAAATCGTGATTTAAGAAATGGTCAAAAATACTTTGAATTTTAACCCTGGATATTATTATGGCATTGATTTTTCTTCGTCTCGATCATTATTTGCGTTTACGTTGAACACACCAGAAGAATGGATAGATTTTAAAAAAATCGATGAAATCGAAATTGTTCATTCAAACAATTTCCAAAGAGAGGAAAAAAAGTCGTTGGCAAGATTGTTTCGCGTTATCATACTGTTTTCAGTTTTTCTACAATTTTATTTGTATTGAAAAGCAATCGGCAAATTAGAATAGCAAAAAAATCAATACATTCAAAAATCAATATGTTAACAAAAGAAAAGTAGCAGGTAGAAAGGAGAAAAAAGTAGCTGATATGGTGGATAACAACTGATGGACAATGACCAAATGACTACATAAAATATTGTTGTAATTCAAATGTAATTTTACTTCACAATTTGTTTAATTATTATGTGTATTGCGTTTGAAGAGTCCGCGTACAAACAGTCATTGGTACACACACCATATTCACAAAATGAAATGAGCTCAAAGTGCCCGCAGGGACACCATAGACTATGTGTTTGCGCATTGAAATATTTGTTAATATTGTTCAAAGTTAATTCAAGAAAGCAAAAAATATATTTCCGGCTGAAGCAACTCCTCAAACAAGAAGAAAAACGAGCGAAAATAACCAAATCAAAGACATGAAAATGCAGATCAAAAACGAATTTCTTTCACAAAAATCAACATGTAGCACACAAACACAACCTTCTCTCACACCGAATATACAACATTTTGAATCTCCTCAAAAACCAATATTGCGCTTGAAATATTTCTTCTTCCTGGTTGTCAATTCGACAAGGAAAAGACTTATTGCAGATAATAGAATAAAACTATTTAAGGATACAAAAAAATGAATTATGACAAACACAGTTACAATAATGAAATCTATTTGCACAATTTTTCGATTCATATACATAAACTTAAAGAGGAAGAAAAGAATTATTGTACAAGCATCTATTTACAATCGATGAATATGAATGAAATAGCCAGGCATTTTTTGGAGACCAAAAGAAAGAAAAACGTTACCAACAAACATTACCGCCTGTGTAATGGCCAACCATTCGGGAAAAAAACAGCTAGTGAAGTGCAAACGTGAACAAACAATGACGTAACAGAGGGAAATCTATTTATTTATTTATTATGTATAAAAACACAAAATGTAATATTTATCAAACTCATCTGGTATGAGGATGAAAGGCTGGTCCTTTTCATTTCGTTCGAAAATTTAGTTTAAAAAAAATTATGCAAATCTCAAGAATCTAAAATCCATGAATTGTCTACTCCTTCACATTGAACATTGAACATCCATTTTTAACATTTTAACAATATCGAAAATTTACAAACAATATTACACATGCGTGGAATCATGAGGGAAAAATATATACAATTTATAGGAATTTCAATTGGATAAATAATACAATTGTTTTAAGGTGCATTCTGTTATAAATGACGTAAATACAATTTCAAACCACACTACAATTACAAACACATCGATTTTGTTGCACTTTTAGTTCTCGAAATAAATGATTAAAAGCAATCGCAGTCATTTGTTGGCCCAGGAAAAAAAATATATCCGAAAATCTCGTTGAATTTGATGATTGCAATACGAATTTAATGGAAAAATTATATTGTTAACTCAATTCGTAAAGGTATGGTGAAATGAAATTCGCGTCATTTATGAGAATTGCTCGATATGTTCTAATTTGTTATAAATAAGCATTTTTTGCGATTGGTTTTTGTTTATTTTTGTTAAATTTAGATCAAAAAACTAAATGTATAAATTTGTGAATCTTAACTGTGTGTAAAATAATCTAATAAACAAAAACAACAGAAATTCGATGGTTTTCATACTTTTCTTCATTTGAAAATAAAAAAGATCTATTCCAAAAGGAATGTTTTTCGAGATTTTCCAATAATTTTGAAGGAATTTGAAAAACAATAAAAAAAAATAAATTAAAAATCATCCCTTCTGACAGGATATCAACGACAAGAGTCATCAAAATATTTTCCCACTCCAAACAGGGTTAAAAGTTATAGCACTTGGGGAAGTGCTTCGGGGGAACCAAACGTAATCGAAAATTGCAAGCTTTTCACACAGATGTCAGTGTTGCCAATACGACCCAGTTTTTCGTCCATCCTTAGCTTGTGTATGTGCATAAAAAAAGCTTCGCAACAATTCGCATCCAATGCCAAAGCGCTGGAGATGCTGCAACAAAGACAGAACAACGCTTCCGTAGAGCATATCATTTTAATTTTGTGGTTGGTGGCAAAATTTTCGTGCTCTGTGCAAAGTGAAAATTCAGTGTGCAAACTTTAATTAATTTGCCTGAAAATTGTTTTCAGGTGCAGAATAAGTGTTCCATTATGTTTATATAATGCACTAAATGCAAACAAACAAAAGCAATTTAGCGAAAATATCAAATAAAAAACACACAAAATGAATAGCTTATTCTATTTGTGGGTATTTTTCACGGCAGCCATTTTTGTTCAACGAGGTGAGCTATAAATTTAATTTGCAAATTTTCTCATCGTTCTCTGTTCTTCAACTCCAATGGAAAATTGAAATGCGACACCTTTTGAAAAAAGAAGAAAAAAATCAATCGAAATTTGCAAAAAAGGAGTGGATTTTATGTTGTGTTGATGTTGTCGAAAGTCTCTTGTTGAGGCATGAAAAAAAAAGTCAAGCAGCAATCTAGGTGATGGGTAGTCACCATGATTGCTTATCGCTTTGGTAGTAGTGTGGATGTGCTTTGGTGCGCAAGTGTTGGTAGTTTGGAGTATGGGAATCCGGCACACAACAGATGATTTGTCTCGCACAAATTCAACCACTTGTCAGCTTTTCCATCAGAAATCTGTCAAAACAAATCCCATTTACTCCATTTGTTATGATGTTTATCCACGTGCTTTTTTCTCTCCTTCTCATGCGTTTGTTTACATTAGTCTCATATTTTCTTCAAATGGTGTTTGGTACAATTTTTCAAAGCTTTTTCATTACTTTGGTTTTTCTTAAAAAATATTCGAAGTAATTTTTCCCAAATTTTTGGATTTTGTTCATAGCTTTGGCTGTACCCTCAACCACCGTAACTGAAGTTCCTGACGAGGACGATGAAGACGATTTTGATGATTCCGATGAGTCGGCAGAGGCCGATGACGATAGTCGCATTTATAAGAATCCAAGAAATTCACCGTCATCTGATTGCCCACGCGATGAAGAACAAGCCACTTTACTGGGCCAAAAATGCTTGAGAAAATGTTCATCGCATGAAGATTGCAAGAGCAAGAAGAAAAAGTGCTTGTGCGATGGTGTTTGTGGAATGTCTTGTATTAAGCCAGGTGATTTTTTTTCTATTTTGAGATTTTTAAGTGTACTTTTGTTTGAATATTAAAATATTCACACTGAGAAAAGGCTGGAAGGAAATATTCCAACCCTGCGTTGAAAATGTTGTCATTGCAGACGATTTTGTGAATTGTCCAACCATGGTTGGAATTTGACAAACGCAAAAATGCTATCAATTTTCCAACCATGGTTGGACAATTCACAAAATCGTCTGCAATGACAACATTTACAACTTTGGAATATTTCCTTCCAGCCTTTTCTCAGTGCATGTATGCTATTTTCTCTGTTTTCACAGATCGTGAATGCCCAGAGCTTCCACAGCCTGAACTTGGTGCTGTCACTTTATCTGGACGTGAATTCGGCGGAAAAGCAACTTATACTTGTCCAATTGGTTACAACGTTGTTGGGGTAATATTCACATTCATTAATTTATTCCAAACTTACTTATTTCGATCGAATTTTAACTTGAATTTGATTTTTAGCTCGCAACCAGATTGTGCCGAAATGGTCAATGGACTGGAACACAACCGGTTTGCTCTAAAAACAGTAAAGTGTTTTTTCATTAAATCAACATACTGAATTTGACACATCTGATAGAAAAAACTGATTTCAACTTGACTTCTTTCAGTATTTTGTTTAACTCCTCCTGTAATTGAGCATGCTCGTCATTCAGCATTGCCGGAGCAAGCAACATTCGAACTTGATTCAACAGTACAATATCACTGTTATACTGGTTATGTGACTGCCGGTTTTCCACGAGCCAAATGCTTGGCTATTGATGGTCAGGCAAGTTGGTAAGTGAAAGTTTGAAATATTCTATAGAGGATCGAATGAATATTAACTTGCATATTTTATCATAGGTACGGACCTGATATTAACTGTGAGCCCCGTACATGTGGTGAGTGTGAATGTGTGGAGTTTCAAAAGAGTTCAAATCTAATTTCTTGTGAATTTATTAGGTCAACCACCTGATCCGGCTCATGGATGGCACGCTGGTGAATGCTATACGTTTGGATGCCGCATCACCTATCACTGCGGTGAGGGTTATGAGTTGGTTGGAAAATCCGAGCGTTTCTGCCAGGCAACCGGTGACTGGTCACCGAAAGAGATGCCAACATGTGTGCGTAAGTAAATTTAAAGCCAATTCAATTGCAAATACATTCGAGTATGTTTTTGACTTGTGTATTGTTTCGAGTATCTAATGATCACTGTATTTTCATGTTTCTTTCCTGTTGTTTCTTGCTCTAATCAAAAAGAGAACCAATCATAAATTCTCGTTGAAACGTACATATTTTCTCACAAGTTTAACGAATGTAGCAAAATTTCCGGTGCGTCATATTAAACAGAAAAACTAGCCAGTAGCACTCTTTTGAACTTGAGATCAAAGCATATATACAATTTGCCGAATAGAATCGATTAGATTTGTTTGCTCTTTAACACCCACACATATAAAAAAAAACAATCAATTCCCTTATCTACTTTGATGTTGTGTCACTAAAATTCGAGATTTTACCGCTAAATTCAAGTGATGATGTCTTAGACGCATAATTAGACTTTCTAACTCCATGTGATGCGTCTGAAGTCGGTCGAAATCACCAACCATTTACTAACTCGCATCCAAATTGACCGTTGGACCGTTTATTCACGGCGAATATATTAAATCGTTATTTAGTTAATGTGTAGAATGCAAAAATGTATTTTGGCTTTAAAGAAAAAAAACATTCAAAATAAAAATATGTGTCTCGTTTCCGCAAAACTAAACCAAACGCTTTGTTTTTATTCGCTTCATCCAACTAATTCTTTCCATGCTGAATCAATTCACATTCAATCGGCAGACAATTCGAATCGATGTCTGATCCAATCAGACACATAATTGTTTCAAAATTTGCGGTAGAAATTCACGTAGACATTCATTCACGCATCAATTCTTAGCTAAGCATTACACTAGCGCACTTTTGATATTCTTCTTTCATTTCAATCAAATAGTTGTTACATCGGTCGTTTGCCCAATACCGGAGAGTCCGAAAAATGGAAAAGCTATTTATACCAGTCTTTCATACAATTCGATTGTGAGTTATGAGTGTCGCTACGGGTATACATTGGTTAATGACAGTTCACGACGTTGCGGAGCCGATCGAAAGTGGAGCGGTACTTTGCCAACATGCAAAGAAATCAATTGCGGATCGCCGGGAGTTTTGTTCAACGGCTGGTTGGAGAATATTGACGCCGGTACAGGTCTAGGGGCTAGCATCATATTTAGGTGTCAACCTGGCATGTTACTTATCGGTAACACATCAACTGTTTGCCAAATCGATGGGAGGTGGAGATATCCTGTACCAGAATGCTTGGGTAACTCGAAAATCATATTTTGCTATCATTTTTCTTTGAACTAACACTTCTTTTTCGTTCTTTCTTTGTGCATAGCACCTTGCGTTATTCCAACTGTCGCACAAGGCACGGTAATTGCAATGGAAAAGGAACTCGATCCAAATGCTACGACACAAATCACACCGACACTTCCACCCAGCTCGAATCAAGTGATTCATGGAACCACATTGGAAGTCGTTTGCGAAGATCACTATGAGTTTCCCATCATATCATCTTCTCCACCAACTTGTTTGAACGGCACCTGGTCCATTATACCTCGCTGCACACCAGCTCGATGTAAAATTCTACCTAAACCACCTAAATTTGGTAGGTTATTTGCTCAATTTTGAACGTATTTTTACTTTTATTTTGCTGTCGTCATATATTCGGAGATAATGTACTGTTTTACGTAAATTTAGGTATGGTACTGGCGCCAAAAACCGAACACGGGATGAAGGCGCGGTTCAAATGCAAAGACGGCTTCAAATTGATTTCGCCGGAAGGAAAAGATGTCATCGATGAAAATGAATATGTTTTAACCTGCGCGTTTGGCAATTGGACCGGAATAACACCAATGTGTCAAGAGCTGTTTTGTGCATTCCCTGGTTACGTTAAGAATGGAAAAATTTTACTCATTGGCAACATGGGTCTTTATGATTATCGGCCATACGTTAAAAAGGTTTTTTTTTGATTAGTTACGAATATTGTTTGCTTATTCATTTTCGAACTCTAATTTGTTTCTTTTCTTAACCCTCTCCTTTTTCAGATAATGAACAACAAGCAAATAATGTACGATTGCGACAAAGGTTATATTTTAGGAGAAAGGGGGCCTGTGGGGGCTACATGCGTAGGTGGTGTATGGCGTCCGGTTGAGATGCCCGAATGTTTGCCTGGAATACATCCTCGATTGAGATGGGCTCGACGCAAACGAGACGCCAAAAACCATCGGAATCGTAAATTTCTCAGCAAATTCAGTAATTTTAAACGCGAAATGAGCAAATGCCTTCGGAAAAATGCAGTAATAGATGATCCATTCCCTGTGAAAAATCTACGAACCAAAAGAAACATTCTTTATCAGAGAGGTGGCCAACAGAGAATTCATCGAAGACCAATTCGAAATCATCATGTCAATCACAAGTGGCACCTTGTTGCTCCCGCTATCATACGTTTCAAGCGAGGCGCCAACCGAAAACCAGTTCCAGAGATTGAATATCAGTTCGCACGACCACTACGCAACGAATTTAGACAACAACAACGAAATCGATTTGAAGAAGAACAACAACGAGCCTACAACAAATACTACGAACGAATCAGACAAAAACATCGAAATTACATAAACAATTTATTGCGTGCATCGCACAGCCAAAGTGTTATGGATGACGAACCGCTAATATTTGATAACAAAGAAAATACATATCATGGTGAGGATGACTACAAAACTCCTGCAAAGGATCCTTTCGATGAAATGAATGCATACGCTTCGATGCCGATTCCATTGCCGAACATCAACGAAAATCGAAATGTTTACGCGAAGAAAGAAATCTATGATGGCATTGTTAACAATACGTTTGTTGGCCGAAGTCGCAGCAGCGATCAAGTCCAAAATGAAGATAGATTCAAAAACAGGAATCATCTGCCACAAAAACCTTCAAACGATTACTATGAACTCACACCCAAACAACATGGTAGTAACGCAACAGACATTCTAGATTTGCTACGATCGCAAATCATTCGACGCAGAAAAAGAATTCTCAACAGTGTCAAAGGTCAAGAGCAAGAAACATTTGCATTGAGTAGAACAAAAGAGTTTCACAGAGTAAAGCGCGCACCACGTGCTCCGAAGAAAAACGAAGAGCAAGTTGATGAAGATGGCAACGGCAGTGACACCGAGAATCCTAGAAAAGCAAGAACAAAGGAACCATGCGAGGTAAGAAAGTGAAAAGAATTCAAAACAATTGCGTTGCTGATTTTTTCTTTGTAATTTATAAAAACCGAATGGTTGATGTTCAATCATACAGCCAATCGCAATGAAACCCTATATCCGCATTGACATAGTACGTGAAGGGCGAGATCCATCAAATGAATTCAGTACGGGTACCATCATTCGAGCTACGTGTGCCAAGGAATATCGATTGAACTTACAAAATCCAAATGGAACGGCGAAATGTGTTCGCGGACGTTGGAAGCCATTGACACCCGAGTGTACATTGGTACCTTGTTCGATCGCATCAACGGAACATGGAAGCTATGTGGCCATTGTTGTTGATCAGAAAGATGACAGCGGCAAAACAACCACGCAACCGCTCAATGCATTTGATGAGATTCAAAGTGGAGAAATTGTTCAATTCAGTTGCGATGAAGGGTACACGGTGCAAGGACCGAACAGATTGAAATGCCAAGAGGGAAGCTGGGACGTTAATGGTTTGCCAGAGTGTGTTCCAGCGCCTTGCTCGTTGCCAACCATAGATAATGCTGTTTATCAAGTAATGAAAAATTACACTCATTCTTATTTTATAATCGTTCAATAATGACTTTAAATTCAGGGTGGCTATCGCTCCGGACTGACGATTGCTCACGCAAGTGCGGTTTCTGTTCAGTGTGATGGCACCGATCAAACTGTCCAAATGTGTAAGTGTTAAACGAATCAATAATTTGAGAATAATTGAATGAAAATTCGATTTTTCCTTCGATATCGTAGCATGTTCATTGGGCGTTTTAACACCTCAAACGGTTCATTGCATGGAAACAATTGTGGCTGCGCAACGAACTCGTGAAATTGAATATCTGGGTGAAGTTGAATTTGTCAGTTCAAATCAAGATGTGGCAAGTATTTTAACTGGATTCAAGAAAATGAACGACAAATACGGCAAAACCAAAACTATGGTGGCCACAAAATCAGAAAACAGCGGCAGTTACTATCAACATGCATTCGGTGATGGAAAAGCATGCGAAATGCCAAAAAGAATTGAAGATACGATACTATACAAGTAAATTTCATTTAAAGGTCCTTTTATGTTGAAGTTGAATTGAAATTATATGATTCTAATTTTTTAGAAATGGTGAGCCAGTCGTTGACACGGATGAGGGATTCGAGACGGGTACAGAAATTACATTTAACTGTATCAAAGGTGCAGCCGGCGAGAGAACTACTTGGAAAATCACATGTGATGATGGCATTTGGAGTGGCCGCTCTTTCGATTGCAGTAAGTGGTTTGGCCTTTTACTTTAGAGTCTTCGATGCGATTAATTTTTTTTGATTTTCTTCTAGCAAACGGCACCTGCATCTTCTATAACAATGAACCGAATGTTGTAAGTTTCTATAATGATCTGCAGATTCGTGAAGATGTTGTTGAATTCCCACCGGGCGCAACAATCGTATCGAGGTGAGTGATAACGACTGAAAAAACAAAACAGAAATAAAACTAAAATACTATCAAATTCAATCCATTTCGATTTTATTTTCATAACACAATTTTATTCATTTGCATGATGACAATTCATTAACTAATACATTTTAACACAACATCTTGATCTTGCGGCAAATGGACAATTTACACAATTTACTCCACCAAATCACAACACGATACATGAACCTTATGATATAAAATAGTGATAGAGCTAGCAATGAACATTTAAAATCATTTCATAACGATTCTATTCGTTGCATGCTCGAAAAAATACAATTTATTCCATTAGTTTAGGCCAAAAGTTCGACTTTTTCACATTTTGAATTGATTTAATTTTTTTTTATTGACAATAACTCTTCTGAAATTAGAAATTTAATGGTAGTTTAAAAACCTAAAATTTTAGAAAAAAAAATCTAATTTTATCAACTGCAGAGCGAATATGTTTGAATGAAACGCACAAAATCATAAAAATAAATAGTTTTAGATTTCATAGATTAGAACATTTTCAATTAAATAAAAACACAATTCTGAATAAAGCATGATTTTTAACCGATTGATGTAAATATGTTGAAATTTTTATATTTAGTCATACTCGGCCCCAATGGTAATGCTAATTTCGCCTGGTAAAACAATTGTTTTGTGATACCATTTATTCGTGTCCAAAACAACTGAAAATACAAAAGAGGTTCATTCAATATTTAGATTCTTTGATTTCATTTGGAATGGCTTCATTTTCTCCTTCTGCATGAGTTTATAGCACATATAGTAAATTACTCACTGACATCACCGGTACGAACTACTATCGAAAATGTTGAGCATTCGTAATAGCATTCTGGTGGTGGTGCTAAAATCCATTCCTTTGCACCTTTAATTTGGGCTTGCCACGATGGTAGTCGCACATTATCAACATGCATATGAGCGCCAAGACCGGGGCCACCCATGAATAGCCAATCAACAGCATTATTCTCAGACGTGTCTGGTAAGAAATACGGCCGGTCGTAATGTTTCCGCAGCTCTCGAGCCACTTCATAGTTGCAATTACTCCAGCCAAAATACCATGGCTGCGTGCCAACTTCATAATTCACACGCTCCGCTGGAATACTTAAAGCTTCTCGAAGTGATTTAAACTCGGTTTTATACTGAAAAAAAAGAAGAATGCAAACTTTTTCCCATTGTCAATTCACTTTTTTACGTTTCAAATCCATTTACCGGAAAGAACTGGCAGTTCATTTGTTCCGAATCAAATAGCGAAGATTCGTACACATCTTTGAAATACCAAAAGTCAAACACATCTAAAGCGGTCCAATTGATGGTTGCATCGGTGATGACAACTGGTTTTGCATTGTATGCATAATTTTTCTCGAATTCTTTTGGTGAAATATTCGAAACTCGATCGGCTTGTGTAATATTTCGGCAGAAACCGCAATCTTCTGGCGGACGAAATGCATGCGAAAGCGAATCGGGTAAAGATATCCAGCACTTTTTTGTATCGCTAATCCACGATTTGCCATAGAGAAATGCGATAACTCCGATTGCGATTGGAATGAGAGAAAAAAGTCGAAAAAGTGACAAATCCGATGGCGTCAAATGAATTCCAATAGCTGGAAGTCGTTGAATATTAATATTTGATTTGCTGGCTTTTTCTATGATTGCTTTCAACTTTTTCACATTTTCGCTCACCATTTTGCTGTTAAATGGAACACTGCAGAACTTTTCGAGAAACGTGTATGCCGCTATCACGTACCACTTGTAAACTGGTGCAAAACGCCTCTGCGACAGATTGAGTGAGCCTGACTATAAGCTGAGAATCGATTACCGTGTTCACAGATGCGGAAAATTGCTCAATCAATCCCATAAAATTGAAAGTATATAAAAAATGAGCATCTGTATGGCATGTTCAATTGAGATAACGCACATTTTTCAATCATGTCAACACTTCTTTTCGTTCTCTCACTAAAATGGGGTGATGTGTCGTTCTCATTTTCTTTTTCAGATGTACGGATATCGGTAAATATCAAATGCTTGGAAATAATGTTCTCACTTGTATTCATTCGGAGTGGAATGGTATTAAACCACAATGCTTGGGATTAAATCAGGAAAATGATTATGCAAGTATGTTGCCGTTGAGATTATATTCGATTGATTTTGACCTACTAAATCGACGCCATTGTATCAATATTGTTGAATTATGTTGCAGTGGAAAAATCTCCAACCATTCTGTTTCGCCATCACAACGGCCCCATTGCACAAAGCAATGATGGAAAGCTAGTTGTATATCCAGGCACAACGGTATATATACAGATTTAATAATAATATTTATCGAGCAATAATATATTATTAACATATCGAAAACGTAACTCTCTCTCAATGGGAAACTGAATATGATAAATATTTCTCTTCTATCTGGGTAATAACGGGGCTATTCAACCAAGGTGCATATGGAGTGCCTTTGGATGCGACGATTTGGCAATCCCAAATGGACTGTTAATCATACATTTAGAAATTATCCAGAGGGATGGGTAACTGATGAAGGCCGTGACAATACATTGGAATATCGATTGAGCATATTCCATGCGGTCGAACATGATTCGGGCATCTACACATGCATGACACCAGCTCGGTACGAAAGCAAAACTCTCATCAATAAATCGGAACACACTCCGTAATTTAATCCTTTTGTGTTTGTTTGATTTGAAATTCAGGCATGACCATACAGTTGAAGTACTTGTCCGGCCAATTCATTGTCCAGAGATTCCGAATAAACGTGGGCTCAAGGTGAATGTGAACGACACCAAGCTTGGTACAAAAATTCAGTTGTCCTGCATAAATGGAAACTCATTGATCGGTGCATCCGAATTGATATGCATGCCAAGTGGCAATTGGAGTTCACCGCTTCCGGTGTGTGAAAGTAAGTACATCTAATCAGCATAATTTTCCCCTTGAATAATCGATCAATGTAAATAATAAACTTCTTTTGTAGGCATTGAATGTGGCGACATCCCAATTTTGGCTTCATCCAATCGATCTGTGCCAAGAGTAACGATACTATCCCGTGAAGTTGGCGGCCGAGCAACATTTTCATGTCAAACTGGCTATGGATTACGTGGTCCATCACAAACAACATGCTTATCAACTGGTGAATGGGCGCATCCATTCCCAACGTGCACTGGTTTGAATGCAAATGGAACAAGTATAAGGAAAAAACCAAATAAATCTCCATTTAACATTACAGAAGTGCAATGCGATAATCCTGGGGCTCCAAACAATGGTTATGCTCAAGGTTCGGTCCCATATCGAGCGGGAGACGTAATCCAATTCAACTGCAATCCCGAATATATGATGCAAGGACAACCAATTATCGCGTGTCAGGATAATGGCAGATGGTCGGGTGTTTTACCAAAATGTAAGTGAATCAAAATACAAAAACATTTCATCTGACATACAGATTGAGACTAATTTTCTTCCACTTTGACTGCAGGTGTGCAAGCTTGTTCATATCCTGGCACAGCGATTGCTGGTCGCATGTCGTCGGTAAAATTCTATTATTCGATCGGCGAGAGCATAACATTCACATGTGATGCCGGTTTAGAATTGAAGGGGGCTCGAACGATTAAATGTTTGCGAAATGCCAAATGGTCCAATGCAATTCCAAGCTGCATTGGACCAGAGCAATTAAATGCTTAAAATAGCCACCATTTTTTCCTCAGTCAATTCAATTTTAATATCATTGATTTATTCAGGGTCATTCCATTGATTCGATTTCATAAGATGAAAACGCATGTTTATATAGGTATATACCTACTCAAATCCATCGACAGCCAAGAAAAAAAAATCCATATATTATCTGTTTTATATTTCTATTTCTTATAATATTGTAAGAGGTCAACAATTATTCAGATTATTATCTTGGGGGTGTTAGTTGTGATATTTATAAATATATTAAAAGAGACAAAAAGCAAATATTTATGAACATTTAATGAATAATGAGAAAGAAAAAGGAAAATAAAATCAGTATAGAGTTTTATTGCTCAGTTTTATCATGAACGAGAGTAGTTTTTTCAGATTTTCAAAGTCAATCTATTCGTTTCGATATTTTAAACAAAGCAATATATTTTATCTCGTTAACAATCAAACATATAGATTATATTTTGTGAAATGTTTGGAAATCATAAACCTTTGTTTATTCTCTGTGTGTATGCATGAATTTTGTCAGGAGAAAATGAGTTGAACAAAAATTTACGACACAAAGACACTCGTGATATCGGCCACAGTATCATAACGAAAAATAAAAAACAAATTCATAATAAATTGACGAACAGCATTTTGAACATGTGTAAATGAATATGGAATTTTGAAAAATGAATAATAATTTAAAAAAAAGAAAGAAAACAATAGGTATTTAGGGACTAAACATTATGTCTGAATGTGTACTGAAAATGATTTAAAAAAACAAACAAATTGTAGATTTAAGCAATTGAAACGTTTCTTCCACTTGAACATATTTACATATTTATCATGATAAAAATTATTAATATATGGTAGACACTTTGTAGATGCATTTTTCGCAGCAAATCAATTTTAATCATTTCATTTAGAAATTCAATTTATTTCATTGTGTCCGACTTATTTTTTATTTCATATCATTTCTTTAGTTACATCAGAATATTCACGACAATTAATTCAAAATGAAAAATAATTTGGCTCAAGTTCTTATGCCTGCTTTTCACTGGGTTTTCTTCCCTTATTTATTGGAACTTATAGATACCAAAACTAACAACTGTATTTAACATTAGAATAAAGGTATTTTAATAAAAAGAAACGAAACGACGTTTACTTAATAAGAATGGTTTTCAATTACATTTCAATGTCATCAAATCCTTTGACTTTGAAACAGAGTTGCTTACATTCCAACGTTCGTAAATTAACGACAGCCACACTTTCGGTCTGGGAAAAGGAGGGAATGCAAACGAGCCGAGTTCGTTGGCCATTTGAACCTAGGAGAGCCAATTAAATGTTAAGAATTAAAAAAAATCATATTTATCTCGAACACAAACCATCAATTCAAATCCATATATAAGATTTTACGAACCTTCGAAGGTGCCAGTCTTAAATTCTGTTGAATTGCCAGCAAACAAAATATGTGGACATTGTTTAATGATGAACGGATCCTGGTCAGAATATGGATAACACGATAGGGTGTCTGGTGCGGTCGGTGCCAAAATGCTCCACTTGGCAACTGATCTTAATGCATCGAGTGGGTCTTCAATGTGTGAAAACTTTTGAATGTTGCTGACATTTTGACCCGATGTTCCGAGGATGAGACGATCTTCGACGTAAAACTCGTAGGGATTGGTTACGCATTTGAATGCACCGCATGGTGCGCTCTTGGGGAACATTAAGTGATGCATTGGTTGTTGCGGCAGCATACAGTTGGCTGGATCGAATTCACCTGGCATCAAATCCACATTGACGGACTGTGCCCAACCGTACACGAGATCATCAACGGCCTTAACAGCTTGCAATGTAACTGTCGATTCAGGTTGTCGCATCAAAATCGTTCTCGGTCGTACTTCCATTGACGTACGTATGGAATTGCCAGCCACAATCACTCGAACCACATTCGATGCCTCGAAGTCCAAGTCTTTGCCATCTTTAGGTAGATTTCCGTATAGCCATTGTTGGAACAATTCAAGTGACATCGTAAAATCGTGAGTAGACGATTGATCCAGTCCGGAGACAAACACCAGCAACGGAGATGAGGTCAGATCTTTTAGTGGTGTTTGTGGCCCACTTTCATAAAATAAATTATCTTCCACCATAAATTTCCCTTCATCATTTTCATAACCTAAAATCAACCATTTGAATTAGTTGGGAGCAAAAACAATATTCTTTCTATGTGCAAAAAAGTGCGGAAGGTTAATACGGTTGACAGTGAAAAACACAATGAAAAAATGGTAATCAAAACGAAAACTTCGACAAAAAACACCTCATGTTATATGATGGTTAGAAAATCAGGAAAAAACGATTTTTTTTTACATGTATTCGAAATCATGGGAAAAATGTGAATGAAACAAAATCGAGTGTGCATTGGATTAATTGACTATCAAATGTGAATTCTGGGACTAATGTGAAAAAAACACAAAACGTGAAGATTCTATGGTACACACGCCAACTCTATCGAGTCGACTTTTACTTACGATCGGTCCCTAAACATCATTGCCATTCAGAATCAATTTGCAATTATAAAAAAAACACAGATATTTGAATTAATATGCGATCACTTCATTCTGTGTGCACCTTGAATTCTCTTTCGATTTCAAGCCAAATCCAACCCCCTAACTCACCTAAGACAGCCATAACAATGCCAGTGACATACTGATCAACCGGAAAATCACCCAGAAGTTGAATACGCTGCACTTCATCCTCCAATATCAGCGTATCTGATTCATCAGCAAAATTTTGGCGGATTGGTTGCGGTGCCAATTGTGTTTCCTCGGAGATTTCCCGCAAAATACTTGGCTTCAGTTTTTGATGCACAAATGTTGTACCAATGATGACACATTTCTCCGGGTTTTCTTCACGCAAATCAGTCATCTTTTTGATTTGATATTTGTCGCCTATTGAGATAACATTCAATATTATAATTTGGTAGATAAAAGTGATTATTGGTACTCACCCCATTTCTCACTAGACTTCTGCATGAGAAGTGGCCGCATTTGTTCCAATCGTCTGGAATAGATGTGGGCAAATTGTTTGCTGTAGTCAGTTTTCTTTTCAGTCAACTGGAATCGCTTCGATGATTCAGCATATTTTGCGGTGGACAAACGCTGGAATTCATCTATTGATTTTTTAATCGAATTTTCGCTAGGGAATAACATTTTTAAATAATCGTTCAAAAGCAAACTAATCTACTGCAACACAAAAATTTCGCGCTAAATGCACAGCTTTGACTAGCGAACTGTCATTGTGATGTTAAAAGTGACAGTAGAAGTTTTAGTAGGTTTTTCTCTCCAAACGAAATGAACGAATCAAATTCAACTGAATTCAATTATTATTGTCTAAGAAAAATTAAATTATTTTATTTATCTCTTTATTTAAATGGATAATTCATTTTTTAAACAAAATCATTTTCCAACAACAGAAACCGTTTTATATCATTTGTTTTCTTGATCCTACAAGATTTCCAACTGGAATATTCAAACCGTAGAACCTATCAACGTATCTGTTGTTGTGTAGACTTGATTCGTCCATAAATACGTCAAGTTCATTGAATGTGGAGAACTTTTTTTTTTCATACGATAAGGTAAAATGCTTGCCAACCGGCTATTGTCTGTTTCAGTTCTTTCGAGAAACTTGATCAAATCAGTGGCAGCCCGATACTACGCAGTAAACATAACGATGGATAAGCATCAAGTCGTACCAGACGTCATTCCAGTTGCACCGGCTGAAGTAGCTAAGGTCACCTACGTTAGCGGAGTCACAGTGAACGAAGGTAATGAATTGACACCGCGTCAAGTTAAAGACGTACCAAAGGTGGAATGGAATGCTGATGCAAATACGTTGTACACGCTTTGTATGACGGACCCTGATGCACCGAGTCGTCAAGCTCCAAAATTCCGTGAGGTTAGTTTTTTTAATTTTTTTCTACTGAAAATATTACTTTTTTTATCAATTTCGACTAGATCGTTACTTCAATTTTTATTGTTTTTTCAACTGGTTAAACTCGGTTTACTGAGAAAAAATATTATTTACTTTTCAACTGAGTTGCACCAACGTCACTGACATTTTTTTGTATATCAACATTTTCAGTGGCATCATTGGTTGGTTGGAAACATTCCCGGTGCAGATGTGAGCAAGGGTGAAGTACTATCGGATTATGTTGGCTCTGGTAGGTTTTCAATGCAATACGAAATAAATGAATCGATTTCAATTGAATTCAAATCGTTATTGACTAATAAAAAATTAAACTATTTTATTTGTCTTCATTAAATCAGGGCCACCAGAAGGCACTGGCTTGCATCGCTACGTCTTTTTGGTCTACAAGCAAAACGGCAAGATCACTTTCGATGAGCCACGTTTGCCCAACACCAGCGGTAAAAATCGTGGAGGATTTTCGATTGCAAAATTCGCCAACAAATACAACTTGGGAACTCCAGTTGCTGGAAATTTCTATCAGGCTCAATGGGACGATTACGTTCCAATCTTGTACAAACAACTCGGTGATGAATAACGCATCTTTATCGCCGTTTTCCACAGCAATGCTTCAAAATCACAGTCTTTCTTAGAAAGTTTAATTAAATGTTTAGAAATACGAATAAAATGAGAAATTATGTGCCTCATCCAAAAATTGGCGATACACAAAGCAACTTTTCACACATATCCTATTGTTGGAAATAAAGCATTTTAAAAAGAAGAGTGGTGCCTGTTGTCTTCAATTATATATGCAGCATGCTAGTAGTAAATTGCGTGCAACACGATTAATCGTTCACTCAAATCGATATGAATATTTTATTGCAACTTCCAAGCGGCGAACAAATAAAGTAATCGTTTTTCTTTATTTGTGTATTATTCATTTTCTGTGCAACGGTATGTTTGGATTGGTCGGCATTGATTAGAAAATTGTCATCGGCTGCGAGCATTTATCGATTAGTTAGTTTGTTTATTTTGCCAGTTTTTGTAAATATTTCATTGAAAGAATAGAAAAGTACTACGGCTAGTATACCGAACATCTTTGATGCGCATTTTATCGAACAAACGATAGAGTCTGTTTGGTAAACAACATTTGCTTATTGTCGGAACGATATTTCTGGAAATGGGGTAGCATGACTTATGGATGTTAGCGCTTTCAATGACAAACGACGACAGAAATAAACCTTTTCAAGCATAAATCAATCATGCGTTTATACAAAGTGGTCCATATTACCCCATGAATGCATTTCGAACAACAATCTTGATATCACAAATTTTATCCCAATCATTCGAAAATCACTTGGCCGAAGCATAAAAAATGGCATGGCGTTACATTTTGATCGCTAAAAATGAAACTCAATAAACTCCTACAATTCAACGAAATTTATTATGGGAAACTTACAATATTACACATACATTCATGTATAAAGTTCTAATTGGCTGTGGCAGCGCTAACATTTTCTTCACTGTCCACATTTTCGCCGCACTTGTATCGTTGGTAATCGACTATTTCGATTTGTCTTTCTTCAAGCAATTGCCCGACTTTGATTGTTGGATCGAATACATATTCTTGGAAAATTAAGCAAGTTTCATCATCAGAATCCTTAGCCGGTTTATCTTGTTCTTTGTTGCCCACTTTCAATGGATTGCTTCCGATAACCTGTAGACAGAGATTTTTCTTCAATTCGTCGGTGACTTCTGTTTGGCTACGAATACCAACAATGGTTCCGATGCTTCCGCCCTGAGTTTCGTTATCGGCAACAACATTTGGCGATGGATATGCCATTCCAATTAGCTGTACGGATTGTGGGACTTTGAAGCAGACAGCGCGCCTGAGTGCTGCATTCTCACCAACCGAACCAATCATTAGAGCCATTTCGTCCGCCAATTTTTTGTTGTTACTGCTCACCAAATTTTTGAGCGATTCCGCTTGGAATTCCGTTCGTGAGATGAGATCGCTTTCCGGAAGACCACTGACATATTTCAAGCATGCTTTCGATGCCAAATCCACAAACTGTTGGAATTTTTCATTGCGGGCCACAAAGTCTGTTTCACAGTTCACTTCAATTAGTGCACCGATGTTTTTCTGCAGAACAACACCGACGAGTCCCTGGGCTGTTTCACGACCCTCCAATTTTGTTGCCTTTGCCCAACCCATTGCCTGTGCCTGTTCTTTCAGCCATTGTTCCGCCTAAAATTTCCATAAAAATATCATTTTATCAATTGTAACTGAAAATTCCAACGCAATCACATACCTTTGTAACATCGTTATTATGCAACTCCAACGCTTTTTTGCAATTCACAAATGAGTACCCGGTCTTTTTTCGCAGAAGTGCCAACGGACTTTTCTCTGCTGAATAACATCGAATGTTATTCAATGATTGACGCACAATTTGTCTGCAAAACATATTTATGAACGATTAAAACCGAAATTTATGCGAAAAACACCACTTTGAGTTAAATTAAGGCTCTGAACGAGCTAGAATTAGGGAGCTAAATTTTTTTTCTGTAACTATTAAATATATGATGAAATTTAATGGAAACCAATAGATTTTTGGTTAGCCTGGAAATGAGCGAAACATCAAAAACACATGTCAAATGTGACATTTGATGAGTGCGCTCAATTCTTTGAAAAAAAGAAGTGAATTCAATGCTCATCTCTTGTTTCGAGTGTTTCTTTTTATTTGGAGGTGTTTCTTTGAAAATTGTATCTATTTCCCGAACAAATGATTAAATTGAGGAAATATACTTGACTCTATAACAATTTCATTTTTATTTATAAATGAATAACACGGGGCAAACTTATGAATTGTGTTTACCTGTTGAAAACCCACAAAATGCGCAACCGTTTGGCGTCACTATGGATATGCTATTTCTGTTATTAAAACAGATTGAACTTTTTTTGATTTTTAATTTTTTATTGAAGATCTGACTTTCAACAGTTTTTTGTGGTAAGAGAAATAATTTTATTTGAGCAGATGGATAGAAAAAGAAAATTGGGTAAAATTGATGAGAACCCATCGGAATCGAGTGAAAGGCCAAAAGTATTTACAGCATTACATCGTGATCCGAAATATCGAAAAGCAAATGCCGAATTTCTAACGAGACGCCTTCGCTTGGAATTTGATAAGCTGACAACCGCTCGGCCACTTTGCAAAGGGGCCTCAAGCATACCTCCGCTTCCACCGGAATTACGAAAATCACATCGAATCAAATTAAGAACCGATGCAAAAAAATCAAGAAAACGAAGTAATTGCTCATGTATTTCAATGTGATTCCACAAACATGTTGTTGCTTATTTATTGATTGTATTTCCGAAGAATTTCCCAACTACACAAAAATGCGTGAAGAGCGAGAGGAGTTTCGTAAGACATTGGTTGAGTTGATCGTGGCCAAAGAAACTGAAGATAAAACGGGCGACACATTTCCCAATTCACAAGAGCGTCAGCTTTTAAGATATTACTATTATATCAAGCATGGCATAGATACAAATCACATCGCCCCGATGACTAAGCGAATGCTGAATAAGTGAGGAAAATATTGATTTACCGGATTTGAAACGGCTGTTTCATTGCTCTAAACAAATATTGGTTCTAATTTTGAAGGATTCTGCGATTGGTTCCGAAGCGACTGACAAAATGGCAGGACATCATCGATACGAATGTTGATGAAATCAAATCAGAGTACATTTTCGTTTCGAAAAAATCGGTTGTGGATTTCGTACTGGGAAAATCGCTAGATAATTCATGCGACAACCACAGCAGCAGTGGCAGCGGCGACGGCGGTAGTGATGCGAAAATATCTCAGGAACGTCATGAAATAAAAGAAATTGGAAAGCATCATGCACATGTGTAATGAATAATTGTTTATTGATACAATGTTGCGATGCCATACCAACAGTTGCTAGGATGTTTAACGATTTCCTATTTTCAGAATCCATGTGAACCGTCGAGCAATTAGTCGCAACCTCTACGTCATCACACCATGTCTACGACAAATGCTTGCGCTTTGGCACACAACATATACGAAGCTGTGTTTCATCGATGCCGAAGACTTGCTTCGTCATGTTGGTACATTTGATTTGGTTGAATTCATCGTGAGTAATCACTAAGAAATACCATTGTGTGCAATAATGCATGAAATATTAAATGCACGGCCGTAATCAAGCTCAATCATTTTTTAATTTATTGCAGACGACAATAAACAAACAAATTGAAGATACGAGAGAGATTTTGTCCACCAAATGGTATGACGCATTGAAATTGATATTTGGATCGGCGATGAAGAGGAAAGTGATGCCGGACGCAACAAAACCGAGAGCGTTGCATCGATTTTTCGATTGTGTTGCATCACAAATGACTCATTGCTTGCAGGATATTGCCGTGCGAAGTCTCAAAATATTCGTCCAATTCATGAAAAATAGATCCAATCCGAGAATTCAATTGCACGTTATGCTCGAAGACGAAGATCGAATGGTATTTTGTCCGACATTTGTGAAAATTCACACGGAAATTTTGCACATCGTAGAGAGTGTGCTGGGTGCTGTACAGAATTTCGAGCGCATCGAAACAACAATGCCAAATTTCTCCGAATTTCTTCCGCGAAATAATTACCTGAAACCAATCATTGCGGCCGACATAATTGACGAATGTAGAAGGCAAATCACCGATGTTTTGGAAGAGGAACGTATCGTGCCCGAGTTGATGTTACAAGACTTTGATGACTATATGGATTTAATGAATGGCGCCGATGCGGACAAAATTTACAATTTCATGAATTCCAATCCGGCATTTGAAGAGTACTGCGAGCTGATTAATCACTACAATGATGTAGAGTACGAAATATCCGTGAACATTTGGGGCATTGTTTCGATAGGATTTTATGAGTTTCATCGTACCTCATTAATCGGTACGCTCGAAGTGTTAGCTAAATTCATGCAAACTGAACTCCTCACAAAAATGGTTGCCGACCAACAAGCCGACATGGCAAAATTACAAAGTGAATACGAGGAGATATCAAAACAAGCGCTCACCATTCCCAAAAACACCGCCGAACTAATGAATTCAAAAGCGTATACCGAGCGAACACAGGCCGAAGTCATACCAGAAATGGAAAAGAGATTGAAATTGGTAACCAGAGAGAGATAAACATGACCTGTTTCATGATGCTTCAAAGCAAAATGATGTGGGCTTTTTTTCTCATTCGTTTGTTGTTGTTTTTGTTTTTACAGAATTTGGATCATTTCCTTTGGTTGATGGACCAAACAATTTACACGCCATTGGAAATCAAACAGAATAGCATTACGTTTCAGTGGTATTTGAAAATGCCGTCAGTTTTTCTGCAAAATCAACAAATCGTCGAACAGAAAACCATTGAATACCAAGAACTGTTGAGAAAACGGATTGAGCAATTTCGTCGTGATTTGGATTTGTATTGGGAACAGTTATTGGAATACGATGTTTGGGGTGATATTACGCTCGTTGCAAAGTACAAACGCAAAGCGAACGTTTTAGATGCTCGGCTAACGGCTGCACTGGAAAAAATCGAGCGCATAAACGAAGAGGAAAAATCATTTGGTTGGCCACTGTCAGAGTATCCATTGCGAAAGCAGACACATGTGAAATTGATGCCGTATAAAAAACTGTTCGATGCGGGTCAAGATTTTATTGAGAAACGTGATTTATGGCTAAAGAGTCAAGTGGGTACATTCGATCCGGAGGACATAGCCAAGAGCATTGAAACTATTTATGATGATTTATTGAAATTAAGCCAAGGGTTCGAAGAGCATCCGCAATCTCGGCGACTCGCCGAGGATATCAAAATAAATATCGACGAATTTAAATTGAACATGCCAATTATACAAACTCTATGTAATCCAGGGCTGAAGAACCGTCATTGGGAACAAATTTCGGAGGTAAAAATGTGACAAGCTTTGGGTTTTATGTTGATATATTTGAAATACAAAAACTAATTCTCTCGACGCATGTTAGATGGTGGGTTTCCCAATCGTTGTTTCGGCCGAGCTAACGCTGGAAAAGGTTATCGAATTTGGACTGGAAGATTATTTGGCACGGTTCGAAAAGATTTCGCAAAGTGCAACCAAAGAAAATAGTCTCGAGCTTGCCATGAGCAACATGATTGTCGAATGGCAGGGCATCGAGTTTTCCATCCATTTTTTCCGCGACACATACATCTTGGCAAGTGTAAATGATATTCAAACGCTGCTCGACGACCATATCATTAAAACGCAAACCATGAAAAATTCACCATATATCAAACCGTTTGAGACGGAAATTTTGTACGGTTCATTACATCTTCCGAGTGGTTGAAAGAAACAAGTCTAAAAGGCGTTTATTTTCAGATTATGGGAATCAAAATTGGTGCTACTGCAAGAGATTTTGGATGATTGGCTTCGTGTTCAAGCCACATGGATTTATTTGGAGCCGATTTTCTCCAGTCCTGACATTCAACAACAAATGCCCGAAGAAGGTAGGACTAAACTAAAATCGAAGAAAACGAGCACAAATTTATTTCGATTGAATGCAATTGGTAGGGCGACGTTTTGGTGCCGTTGACAAAATTTGGAAGGAGCTTATGAAACAAGTTCATCTAGATCCGGCTGTGATGTCTGTTGTTGATATCGACAAAATGTCGGAAAAACTTAAAAAAGCCTTCAGTTTACTGGAAATAATTCAAAAAGGGCTTCATACCGTATGTTTTTCTTCTTCTTCTTAAAATTCCACTTTTTGTTTTATAACTCGCTAAGAGAAAAAAAAACTCATTTTGTTACTTGGTGTTTTAGTACCTCGAGAAGAAACGCTTGTACTTTCCAAGATTTTATTTCCTCTCAAACGATGGTTTACTGGAAATTTTGGCTGAAACAAAAGATCCAACTCGAGTGCAACTTCATCTTAAAAAGTGTTTCGAAGGCATCAGTTCGTTAACATTCACTGACATGCTTGAAGTAGCTGTTATGAAATCGTCTTATGTAAATAAAATCTTAAAACACAAATCCAGCTCAAAGCATAAAGTGGTGCTTGATATTTCGTTTGAATATTTTTAAAAAATATAGGGTGAAGAGGTTGAATTAACGCAGGTAATATCAACGGCAAAAGCACGTGGTCAAGTTGAAAAATGGCTTCTCGAATTGGAGCGTGTAATGAAGGAAACGGTTCTGGCGCAAATTTTCGATGCGATTGAAAGTTATTCGAGCCAAGAATTTGGCGAATGGATTTTGCAGTGGTCGGGGCAATTTGTATGCGCATCAGTAGACACATATTTTCGGTTTGAAAGTAAATATCACATTTTTCCTTTGATTTTCCGTTTTATTTTTCTGGCAGACTCATGCAACTTTCCTCGTCGAGTTTACCAAACAGATTGATGCAGCCTTACTGTCAACAAACAATACAAAGTTTGCATTCGAGAAAACAGCGCAAAAGCTCGAGAGGCAAATTGAAAAAACCGTTTCGTTACTTAGACGAAATCTATCACCCGGCAAGCGTTTAAATTTACGAACTTTACTGATATTGCTCATTCAAGCGCAGAATATTTTAAACCGTTTAATTGAAAAGAATGTCGATTCAGTGGAACATTTCGAGTGGATGGGTCAAATGCGCTACTATTTCGACGAGTATAAAATCGAAGTAAAGATGCTGTTGTCAAAATTACTTTATGGTTTCGAGTATATTGGCAATAAATCTTGTATGGTTATCACTCCATTGACTGACCGATGCTATCGCACTGTTTTTGTTGGACTCAATCAACATTTCGGCATGGCACTACAGGTAACGTTGCATTACAGATTTGTGATTTGTGGCCTTTCAGCAACTACAACAATTTATGGAATGTGTAATCAACGGTGATTGTTTGATTTTTGAAGGGTGAGGCTGGCATAGGAAAAACGGAAATAGTCAAAGATTTGGCCAAGGCACTTGCCAGATATTGCATTTCATTCAATTGTGCCTACGATTTGGACTACATTGTAATGAGTAAATTCTTCAAAGGACTAGCTGCATGCGGAGCATGGTAAATATATACGTACACATCCACTTTGTATGGCGCGCTGTAAACAATTTGAAACTATGTTGTAAAATGTTTGCAATTTTCCGTCCTCTCTTCACACTCAAGGGTTTGCTTTGACAATTTTAATCATATCGAGTCGGGTGTCTTGTCTGTTGTGGCACATTATATGCAAACGATCCAAGAGGCATTGAAGTTGGCCCAACCGAATTTCATCATCGATGGTATAATGTTGCCGATGAATTCGAGCTGCGCTATTTTTACTACGCTCAGTTCATTGAAACCGATAAATTGTCACGAGAAATTACAGTATGCATAATTTATCAGATGCAAAATGTTTTCAGGAGGCTTTATTTAAAGTTGTTGGTTTTTGTTCATATGTGTGTATTGTAATTTAATTTTAGTGACAATCTCAAGACTTTGTTCCGACCGATATCGATGATGTTGCCCGATATGAAGCGCATAGCCGAAATCGAATTGCTATCGCATGGTTTCGAAAATGCACAGTCATTAGGGATTAAAATCATTACGATGTTTCAATTATGTAAGGAGCAGCTAATAGCTCAGCCGCATTATGATTTCGGGATGCGAACCATGAAAACCGTGTTGGAAATGAGCGAACGAGCCAAAATCGGAGGAGCGACCGAGAAAAATGAAGAGGCAATGCTCATTGAAATTATTCGCAAAACCATTTTATGCACACTAGATGATGAAGATGTTTCTATTTTTGAGGTAAAGTTTCGAAACATCTGTTCCGAAACGATAAAGTACTAACAAATATCCATTTTATTAAGTCTATTTTAAGCGACATTTTCGGCAATAAATGTACCAAGCCGTCTGAATCGCCCATACGGCAAGCCATTGTCGATGCTTGCACGGCACAAAATATAAATGCGACGAAATATTTTGTGGAAAAAGTTTATCAACTTTACGAAATGTTGCACATCCGTGCCGGGATAATGATCGTCGGTGACATTGGTGAGCCTTCCATTTTGCTCATGAAAAAACCTCAAGCATAATCCAGTCGGTGATTCATTTGCAGGCAAAACGACGACATATCGAGTTCTCAGAGAAGCACTGGCCATTTTGGAACAACGACCGCCAACGACGGCGGCGACGGAAATAAAAGAGAGCCATCCGATGTGCACGATTATTAATCCGAAAAGTGTAACTATTGGTCAATTGTATGGTGGTTTCGATGAAAAATCGCATGAATGGCGAGATGGCATTTTGGCAATAAATTTCAAGCATTTTATCAATGCCAACGACACTGACAACGAATACAAACGAAAGTGGTTAATATTCGATGGGCCCGTCGATACGGTTTGGATGGAGAATATCAATAGCGTGTTGGATGATAATCGAAAACTTTGTCTCACTTCGGGTGATATATTTTATTTGAGCAGCTCCATGAATCTTTTATTCGAAGCATTGGATTTGGCAGACGCATCACCAGCAATTGTAAAACCACTTTTTCGTTTATTTCTCGGTTGCCCCCGAAATGCTTACAAAATTTATAATTCACATTTTCGATGCTTTTAGGTGTCTCGTTGTGGTGTCGTTTACATGTCGTCGGTTTCGTTGGGCTGGCAGCCATTGCTCGAGCAATGGAAAGCAAAATTACCACACATTCTCGAAGATGTGAACAAGCAAGAAATAACCAATTTGTTTATGCGATTTTGTCCAATCCTTTTGTATTTCGTTCGGCATTCATTCGGAGCAAGGGGAATGCTATACACAACCGATTCGAATTTGATAACGTCGCTAATGAACCTCTTTGAATGCTTTATCGACGATTACTATGATGAAAAAACCACATCAACACTCACCGAACTGGATGTTCGGGCGCAACTGGAGGGAATGTTCTTCTTCTCTTGCATATGGTCATTGGGCGGTGCATTGCCTAGTGAAACGAGTCGCTTGTCATTTTCAGTGCTATTCCATGGCTTATTGTTGAAAGACTTTCCAAACGAACTTTATGAAAAGTTTAATATTCCCGACGAACTACAAGTGACCAGTTTGACAAAGCCGTACATTTTTACAATACCGAAGGCGGGCAGTGTTTTTGATTATCGCTTTATTTGCGAAGGCAAGGGCAAATGGAAATTATGGTCGGATGAAATCGCTATAGCACCTCCATTATCTCGTGATATCCCCGTCAATCAAATCATAATTACAACTAAAGAGACTGTTCGCATTTATGCACTCCTCGATTTACTTGTACGCCATGGAAAAGCCACTCTACTCGTTGGGCCAACAGCAACCGGCAAAACCATTTATGCTCACGATTTCTTATCGAAGAAAATCGATCAACACGCTTATGTTTCAATTAACATGAATTTTACAGCGAACACAACGGCAAAACAAGTGCAACAAATTATTATGGCGCGATTGAGTAAGCGTCGCAAAGGGGTATTTGGTCCGCCTCTAGGCAAACAATGCGTCATTTTCGTTGATGACCTTTCATTACCAGAACCAGACGATCAAAGTAGCTCACAGTCGGCAGTCGAACTACTTCGCATGTGGATTGATCACTCCATTTGGTATGAACACAAGGACTTTGTACCAACCAAACTCATCGATTTGCAGGTTGGCTTCTGATTTCATGATAAATCTTGAACATTTTGCGTACGTTTGCTACGTTTTAATATTAATAAATTTCAGATCATGTGTTCAATGCTCTCGCCCCAATATAACGGACGAAGCATCACTCCACGGTTTTTACGCCACTTCAACATCATTGCGGTCGATGAATTCAATAACGAGATTCTTCGGTCTATTTTCAGTAAAATCGTTTTATGGCATTTGGATGCGCGGTAATTTTTCCCCATAAAATCTCCTTTAATTCAATATTACTCTCCAAACACGGTTTTTATTTTGATTTGCGTCTCCTCTTGATGTTTTTTATTTACCTTTTTGTTAATTTTGTTTCTCTTTTAGCGGATTTTCCAAGGAATTCGATCCTTGTATTGATGAAATCGTTCTTGGAACTATGTCTATTTATAATGAGGTTCAAAAAATATTGCTGCCCACACCCGCCAAATCTCATTATCAATTCAATGTTCGTGATTTTTCGCGAGTCGTTCAAGGTGTTCTGCTGTCGGTGCCTGAGGCGATTGAAGGAATCGATACAATGCGAAGGCTTTGGGCACATGAGATTGGGCGTGTGTACGGTGACCGTCTGGTCAATGCTTCAGATCAACAGTGGTTATTCGATCAGATTTGTCGAGCCGTTGAAAGTAATTTACATACCACACCACAAGAGCTGTTCAGTCGATTTATCGATGCGGGCAAACCGATTATACCAGACAATTTACGTAAGCTGATGTTTTGTGATTTTACAAATCCAAAAGCAGACACTCGAAATTACTTGGAGGTTCAGGACTTGGATGAGCTTCGATATGTCGTGGAGTGTTATCTTGTTGAATTTAATAACATGTCGAAACGACCAATGAATTTAACAATGTTTCGATACACTGTCGAACATTTGTCTAGAATATGCCGTGTTTTAAAACAACCACGATCTCATGCGTTGTTAATCGGCATCGGTGGATCTGGACGACAGTCTTACACTCGTTTGGCCGCTCACATTATGGACTATGAACTATTCCAAATTGAACTGAGTCGAACCTACTCGTTGGAGGAATGGACGGAATTTTTGAAGGCTATGCTTTTGAAAGTCAGCTCAACCGAATCCCATGGAGTATTTCTCATAACCGATGCTCAAATAAAGGACGTTCGATTTTTGGACGACATCAGCAATCTCTTGCAATCGGGTGAAGTTTTACGTTTATTTGACCCGGATGAAATTAAGGATATTTGCGAAAAAATGCTAGCGATTGACAAGCAACGAGATAAAACACTTCAAACCGATGGATCGCCAAAGGCATTGTATGAATTTTTCGTTAATTTGATTCGTGAACAATTGCATGTGATTTTATGCATGTCACCAGCTTGTAATCGCTTCCACGAAATAATTCGTGACTATCCATCAGTTATAAATGCCTGCAGTATTTCATGGTTCCATCCATGGCCCGACGATGGTTTGTATGCAGTCGCACAACGATTTTTAACCGAAGAAGGTTTTGAACATCTAACCGAACCTGAAACATCAGCCGCCATAATAATGTTCATGGAATTTTTCACAAGCACAATGTCATTGACTCAGGAAATTTTCATGCAACACCATCAACGTGTCAACATTCCGCCAATGAGTTATGTCGAATCGATAACCATATTCAAAGATAAATTGGTGAAGAAAAAATTGGAATTTATGAAACGAGAAAAAAAATATCGAATCAGTTTGGAGCGAGTGGCGGAATCGTCCGAACAAATGGTTTCAATGCAAGATTCAATCGATGCACTGGAGCCACAATGCAAGATAGCCTCGGAAAAAGTTTCGAAGCAAGTTTCTGATGTGCAAACGGCGCAGGAAGCGGTCGATGAACAGCGTGAAGTTGTTAAAAAGGACGAACTAACTGTTTCCGACCAATCGGCTCAGGCCAATGACTTGGAGGAACATTGTAAAAATATAATGGAAGACGTTATACCTCAGATGAAGGAAGCCGAAGAGTCTTTGTCTTCGTTGACCCCAGCCGATTTGGCATCGGTTCGTACGATGAAAAGCCCTCCGATGCCCGTAAAAGTCGTTATGGAAGACATTTGCATTTTGCGTGACATAAAACCGGAAAAAGCGACGGTAACCATCGAAGACTACTGGTCGTTGTCGAAAAAGATGCTTAACGATCCGAAATATGTAGAGTATTTGCTAACGCTGGATAAAGACATGATTCCGGATCACATAAGCGAAAAGCTACAGGAAAAAGTACTGTCAAATGATGCATTCGATGTGGAAAAAATTAAACTAATTTCGGTAGCATGTGAAATGCTGTGCAAATGGGTGATTGCCATTGTGAAATATGATAGAGCTGCCAAAATTGCTCTACCCAAACGGCTTGAATTGAAAGAAGCGGAAACAATTCGTGATGCATCGATAGCGCAATTAAATTCGAAAACCGAAGAGCTTCGTTTGCTCGAAGACAATTTGAGCGATTTGCAAAAGCAATTGAAAATTGAGAAGGATAATTTCGAGAGCTTAAAATCGGATCATGAACGGTGCAGCAAAAGATTACAGCGCGCAACTGAAATAGTCGCATCGCTAGGCGGTGAAAAAGAGCGGTGGCAACAGTCAATGGAAGACATACAAACGAAATCAAAATATCTCATCGGCGATGTGCTCGTTTCGAGTGGAATTGTTGCCTATTTGGGCCAGCTTACGGAATCATATCGACGCAAACAGATTCAAAGTTGGATTGAAAAATGCACTTCACTCGGTTTATACTGTGATCCGTGAGTAAATAGAAAATAAAAAAAATAGTTCTCTCCACTCCCCCCTCTCTCTCTGTATGAGACTCCGAATATCCATCTCATTCATCGATTCATTCATTTTTTCTCATTCAGTGAATTTAAAGTGGAGAACGTTTTTGCCGACAAAGTTCAAGTGAAATCGTGGAATGTTTTTGGGTTGCCCGACAATCGATTTTCCGTTGAAAGTGCAGTTATTTTGCAGTTAAGTTGAAGCGATAAAATCATTTTATCCACTGTCTGAAATCAACGTTTGTGTTCGACATTCTTCTTTCTTTTTTTTCCTCTGCAGAAATACACGTCGATGGACGTTAATAATAGATCCACAAGGTTTCGCAAACAAATGGATTAAAAATTTGGAAAAAGAAAATCGAATATGCATCATTCAAGTAAGCCAACCAGACTATTTACGTGTTCTTGAGAATGCGATTCAGTATGGGCTGCCGGTTTTGATGGAGAATGTAGGTCTTGATTTGGAGCCGTGTATGGAATCCGTTTTAATGAAAGAAGTATTTAGGCAAAGTGGCACACGTCACATCAAGCTGGGCGAAAGCCTTATCGAATACAATGACGCCTTCAGGTAAATTGAAGCATCATTATTGGATCTGTTTTTCAAATCGTTTTCCTTTTTCTGTTCATTTAATAATAAAATTGTTATCTCCCACAACAATCATTTCTAGAATCTACCTTACAACGAAATTGGCGAAACCGCATTATCCAGCTGAAGTAGCGGCAAAAGTGGCTATTTTGGATTTCAGAGTAACTTCAGCTGGAATGGAATCGTATTTGCTCGGTGTAACTGTTCTAAGAGAGAGATCAGATGTCGAAGCAGAGAAAAGTCAAATCGTTTCAATGAAAGTGGACACAAATAGGTAAACAAGTTATTTAGGAAAATAAGCGTAAACTTACCGCATTCAAAATTTTCATTAATATCATATCGTAAATCAATAAAATCAAATCCATACAGAACACTTATCAACGAGGAAAACAAAATTCTCGACACGCTCTCAACCGATGATCATCTATTGGAGCACGATGCTGCGGTGCAATTAATCAGTGCGTCGAAAATTCAAATAAATGAATTACTTGAAAAAATTAGTGTTGCCAAAGTGACCGAAAAGCAAATTGATGTAACACGCATGGCATACAAACCGCTGGCCGCACATGCCAGCATCATTTATTTTACCATCGGTAATAATGGGCATTGACAACGGGCAAACCATGATGCATGACACTGACCCACTTCATTCTAATTTCTTTCCATTTAGATGAATTGATGAACATAAATCAAATGTACCAATACAGTTTGTCATGGTTTGTGGGTCATCTTACATCGGCCATCGACAATACGGATAAAGTCGACGATGTCCAGCAACGAATCAAAGACTTAAAAAAATACCTTACCTATTTTATCTACACCAAATTGTGTCGAAGTCTTCAAGAGAAGGTATACCGTATTCGAATTGAAATCTAAAATGAATATCAGATAAACAAACACTTAGTGAACAAACATTCAACATTGGAAACAGGAAAAAATTGTCTTTTCAACACTTCTTGCAAAGAATGTCAGCATTACGGAAAAATTGGCCACCAAAGAAGAATGGGAATGCCTATTCTCAAGTGGCAAGCTGAAAAATTGGAATGAAAATGACCCTAACAAACCTGATTGGATATCTACTCAAACATGGTCGGCACTCAAAAGGTGAGAATAACCGATATTTTCCGTCTTTTTTTCTCCAACATTTCAAATGTTTGTTCAAAGAATTTGAGTCGAATCTAATATTAAGCCAACATTGATGGAATGCAACATATAGTCCAGAAGAAAGGAATATATATAGATAGAAGAAGAATTCCTTGAAGCGTCATAAAATGTATGATAAAGGTCAAATATTTTCAATTTGTTCACCGCAAATTGTGTTTGAAATTTCCAGTGATATTCAATCATACAACTTGAAAAGAACTATCAGATTCATTCCAACAAAGCTTCTTGTTTTGGTCGTTTGATGTTATCATTTTCAATTCAACGACGAAAATGGAAATGCAACAAAAAAAGCACACATTTGGTTTATACATTCTAAGAGATATATCGCACTTTACTGTTGACATAAAAATAAGTTGCTCTTTATAGCATATCATTTTTGGCAGGCTCTCGACGGTGGCTAGTTTTTCCGATGTTATAGACAAGCTGCTGGAAAATGAGTCACAGTGGCGAAATTATGCCAAACAGACCGAGTCAAATGAAATTAATTTTCCTGCTGGCTGTTATCGTTCCGATTTGACATCGTTTCAGAAGCGATTGCTGTTCTCTTGCTTTCAGCCAATGAAATTGATTGTCGCCCTTTATTCGTTCATTGATGAGACACTGGGCAGTGAATTTACCGAGTCACCCCCTTTCGATTTGGCATCGGCATTTGGCGATTCAACATGTTGCAAACCGTTGCTCTTCATTTTATCATCGAATTACGATCCAATAAAAAGCATTCGACATCTGGCCGAGACACAATTAATCGATCGAAATCGATTGACATCGTTGTCGATGGCGATGGGTGAACAGCAAAATTCATTAGCAATAAAATTGGTGGAAGACGGAATTAAATCGGGTGATTGGGTTATTTTACAAAATTGTCATTTGGCCATCGATTGGATGAGCGTTCTGGAACGAATATGCGATAATCTTGCACCGGACACAACGAATCAAGATTTTCGTTTATGGCTCACATCGCATTCGACGCACATTTTTCCACTATCGATAATTCAGGGTAGCGTGAAACTTGTCAACGAACCACCAAAACGATTGCGAGGTACGTTGATGCGCACATTTAGTTGCCAACCACTCACCGACGACAGCTGGATAAGTGAAAACAAGCATCCGAATCAACTCAAAGCACTGCTGTATTCGTTGAGTTTCTTGCACGGTGCCATTTTGGAACGACGTAATTTCGACTCAATTGGTTGGAATCACCATGCATACGATTTCAATGACACGGATCTTTTCATGAGCATTTATCAATTCTATGAATACTTGAATGCATTTAATAGCATTCCATTTGAAACTTTACAAACATTGCTAGCGGAGTGCAATTATGGGGGTCACATGAATGACATTACCGATCTCAAATGCTTGAAATTATTCACCGAACATTTTTGCTCACGTGAATTCTGCGAAAGCGGTGGCAAATTGGCGAATAATACGATGAAAATTGAGGCCTACTTTCCGGATAATTACTCGACAATTGATTCGATTATAAGTCATATAAAAAGTCTAGACGATAAAAATGATGCCTCCGTTTGCGGATTGCATCCGAATTCAAACGTTCTGCGCGAACGAAATGAAACCAATTTTCTGATTGCAAATGTTACATTAGCACAGGTTAGCCTTGAACTTTATTTTATTTTTCCTGCATTTTTTGATGGTTTACATTTTTTTTTACTTTATGCATCCATTTCTTTCAGAACTTTGGCATTCCCGACGGCGAAGTATACTTTCCAAACAAACTCCATTTTGAATCAAATTTATGGCATTTCTTTTTTTCCGTTTTCAGGACTATTCGTTGAGATCATCAGAGAATGAGCCGTTGCTTAATGCGGTCAAAGATATTTTAGAAGCCTTACCAAATGAGTTTGACCTAAAAATACTGAATGAAAAGCATCCAACCTCAAATTCACTGAATTTGGTGCTACTACAAGAGATACGGCAATACAACCGATTACTAAATTGCATACGTACCACATCGATGGAGGTTTTAGACGCAATTCAAGGTATTCAATTTCTAATTATTTTTCACTTTGGAATAGATTGTCGATTATGCTTTCGACACAGTCGTTTCCAATGCTTTCCACCATGGCCTCTTCTTCAGTAGTTAAGCGTTTCAAATCCACTTTGATTTTCGTACGATGGTCCAAGTAATTTTCCAGACGATCCATAACATCCGGCCATACGATTTTCTGAACTGCTTCATCTGTCATTACATTCTCCAGTTCATCATCATCATTATCATCATCTACATCATCCGATTTCGCATGATTTATTTCACTGCATCGCTTTAGAATATCATTTAAATACACTGATGAAACATCATCCTTTGATAGCTCAATAGTTTCCAATTCAAAGCCCAATGATGGCAGCTTTACTTCGTTGAAATTCAATAACTCATTCACTGAGCTCTCGGTTAAAATCAAATTGAACTTGTGCGTCAGCAAATCCACAAACGAGTCAATTGAAATTTGATGAATATTCTGAAGCAATTCCTTTAAATGAGAATGGATTTTCAGCATTTCTGCAATTTTGTTTTTGGTTTCAGTGATTTTTGAGCAAGTCATTTCGTCAGTAGCTAGCGTCGCGGCACGTAACTTGTCAATCGATTTCAATTTAGTGGAAATTTCATCGTGAATTGTTTGTTGCAAACGATAAGCCTGTATGCATAAAATGGAATATGAAAATGAAGTAAGAGGAAAGAAAATGGGAAAAAGAATGTTTTTCGGTGTGTGTGTGTGTTTTTTTCTTCTTCTATCTATCTTCTCTACTACCTTGAGTGCTTCATAAACGATTCGAAGATTGTTATCTTTCAGGAATCCGGGGGCAATTTCACAAACGGCTTTCTTGGGTTTATCGATGGGCGTTCTCGTATGCATCGCTTTTTCGTAGTTCGATGTAAATGTATCGACCCTCTCAATCCGACTTAATGCCGTTTCGTATTTGCGTGAACCAGCTGCTGTTATTGAATTATTCAAATTCCCATGACGTATTTTGCGAATGGAATCGCTGAGATCGGTGTTGTTCTCACAGCAACCATCTTTCGTTTGATTGTAGTACACAAACTTCCGAAGCTTTCTAATTGATCGCTCATATTTTTTGCTGCATAAAATATTCAAACGTCATAATGGCACATTGAAAATGATAACCTAATTAGATTACGTACTTGATGTTTTCAATTTTCAATTTATGCTCGCCGTTAAGTCGATTAACGGAACGATCAATAGTTTTGATTGAATCAATTTCGAATATTTTGTCGCGTTGCTTGAGCATTTCTTCCACCTTGCGGAAGCGAAGTGACTGTGTATGTTCAATATCGCATTCTTGTGTCAGCCAATCTTCCCATTCGAGCGTTTCCAAGATGTGACGCTGTTCATCGGTTGAATTTTCGTATTGCTTTAGAATTTTTTCGCATTCAACACGTTTTCGCCTGCGATTAATCGCCCTTATTTCATCGAATCCAGGGGGTGATTCCATATCGAGTGCATCGTTCACTTGAAAGAGTTGACTCTTTTCAACACCCATTCGATATCGAATTTGCGGTAAGTAAGGCTTCGTCTGAGCGGATTGTTCACGAAAGACGGTTTGGCAACTCACTGACCGCGATTTTGCTTGCGGCTTTGATGGCGTCTTATCAGTAATCTTGTTGTTGTCATCCGTATTTGGCCGATGTAATTGAATGTGGCCACTTTTCGTAGCAAGCGGAATATTAAAAAATTTCGCTCTATTGCGCCCTGATGCGTAGTGATTATATTCCGTTTGAAATGCACCTATTGAGTTCAGGAAAAACGGAACACAATATCAAAAGAAGGATTTATTTGGAAAATTGAAAATTGATGAATCGCAAAAGTCTTACCGTTAATTTCGGGTGTTTTGGGCAATTGATTTCGTTGTAATACGGCTAAGCTGCGTGGTCGTTGTGGCAATTCAGAGAACATCGAATTGAAATTCGTATAAATATTTACTGGTGCGGTTTTGGTCAAAGCAATCGCATTTTCCCTTTGAATATCCCTAGAGTTACCCGTCGTATAAATCGGGTCGTATATATGGTCGAAAGCACGCGCTTCGGATTTCGTATAACTTTTATAGAACATTTTTCAATCTAACATACACACACTCACACTCTCTCTTTCAACTGTGCTAACGCGATACACAAACCAATTTCAAACCGAACAGAAAGTGATATGAACGTTTATCTCGATTATCAATTCAGGAGCACAGTTCGAGCATTATGACAAATTGTTTAATTTGATTTTCGGAAACGAAAGCACAACTTCGGGGGGGCCAACAGAAACAATAACAATAATAACGTTGACGATGACGATGACGACAGGCAAATTAATCGATTTCTGTTTGTTTTTGTACTTTCGACAGGCCGAATCATTCTGTCGCGCGATATAGAAACCGTTGCTATGGCGATCGCTAATTCGAAAATACCAACTGTTTGGTTAATGAATTCGTATCCAACCCTGAAATCACTTGGCAGTTTTGTCAAGGATCTGCAACAAAGGATAACATTTTTCCAGGTGATTATAAATACACAAAGGACGATTAATTAGTTGCATAGAACAAGCAGAAAACAGAAGCCATTTCTCTAACATCCATTATGTACGAACAAACAAAATCAGGGGAGCTTATACAAGATTTATCGATTACATAAGATGAATGAGAATAAGTGAGCAAGCACACGCATACACACACATTGCATTTTGTGTGCCACGAACCTGAAAATAGTCAAAGACTTTGCGAAAAGGCTTAGCTCGTAAAAACCTAAATTCACTTTTGTAATTTGTATTCAATGTAAATGCAGGCATGGATTGAAACTGGTTCGCCTCGGATCTATTGGTTACCGGCATTCTTTTCAGCTCAATCATTTCTTGCGGCCATTCAACAGAACTACTCCCGCAACCATGGCATCGCGTACAATCTCTTGACATTCGATTATTTGGTAAATTTATTTATTTCTTTATCTCCTTTTCTGTTTGTTTGCTTACGTCCATTCTGTGTACATTTGTGTACTTGGTGCGCTTACACTGCAGACAGATGAGACGGCCGATGGTGAATGTGTACCGGAAATTGGATGCTTAGTAAATGGTCTGTTTTTGGATGGAGCTGCATGGTTGAACCATTTGGTTGAAGCAAAAAATGGTTTCCTCTTCGATGAAATGGTAACGGTGAGTATACTATGCTGCTGCCTGCTGCGGTGGCTGCTGCTACTGCTGCTGCTGCTGCTCGTCCTTGATTGGATGCTACATTTTAATTCATTCGCTGCAAAGTACAATGTAAACTAAGCGAATAATTCATTCGTTGCACTTCTATTATAATGAAAATGTCGGGGTGGCGACCGACTCCTTTCTGAATTTATTGTTACGATGGAGTGCTCAATAAAGGCGAGCATAAAACACCTTGATTGTTTTGTCCAAATGAAATGGGCAAAACGGTTTTGTTTTCATCACTAAATGGTACTTTTGTTTAACACTCACACAGATCCACGTAAAGCCAACGAAGCGAGACGATCTAATTTTGGCGGATGGTAATTTCTACGAATGCCCCTTATATAAAACCTTGAAGCGTCAGGTTTTAACATGTGGCAAGAAGAAAAGTAGCAATCTTATAACATTCGTTCATCTAAAGTGCAGTGACGATCTTTCGCCCAATCACTGGATTCTTCGTGGATGTGCGCTGATATGTCAATTAAACGATTAAAAATGAGATTGCAATCGCTCGACGTGTTGTAGTACATGCTCAATATGCCACGCTCTATTTAATAAATTTTAGCATTTAAGTATCTATTCATTTGGAAATGAAGCAATTTACATGATAATCCATAAATAAATTTCCAATTAAGCGATGCTTTCAATATAAGAGAGATAAAAAAAAACAAATCGTAAGCGGATTACCAATTCACAAGTGGATAAAGGTGAGCCAGAATGAATACTTCAAGGAGATTTGCAATTATTTGCCGAAATTGAAAAGCCATCGAAATTAATGTTCATCGCTATTCTCCCAGTCTCTTTCTCTCTCTTTCCGCCTCTGTCTTTTCCTATACCTTCCCTCTGTCCCGCACTGACATTCAAAATAATGATTTATTTTAATAGTTTGGATTTGAATAAAGCGACCGACCATAATAAAATGGAATAAGTGTGATTGAACCCATTATTCAGACATTGTCTTGTTTTGCACCGTTTTGAGCACACCAGCCAAAAACACATGCATATACACACACATATACGTACGCCCGACAACCGATTCATAGTACATAGTAACGTGCCAATTAAACTCCCACGCATTGAAATTCGACATTCGATTTCACTGGGACAAGCAAACAAGCGCGTTTGCGGCTGCATTATTCAAACATGAGACCAATGTAAACATGAAACTCACATAAACGCATTTCATGTTTTATCCTGGCATTGTTCCCACTTTATCACCAATGGTGATTCACTATCCATTTTATGCATGTATTTGTTTGTAATTTATTAACCATCAATCATTTATCGACAGAAACATGCGAGCGGCAATGATTGCTGCCTGTGAACAGCGTGATGAGAGACTAAGAGACAGAGAGAAAGGAAAATGTGTGAGTGAATGAGTGAGTGAGTCAGTGTGAGTATTACATAATGTCTGAAAACATATTCATCATGCATAAATTAAACTGCAATAATTTGATACAATGTTATTACTAAAATGTTATTTCAATCGCATTTTGATGAGGACGAGACGAGTTGCGAAGGATGTTGATTGAGAAATCGTCGCTATGGTAACTCGGTTCGCTGAAAAACAAAAGAACAAAATCTCTCTTTCTCTCTTTTTTTCATACATTTTTTTCTGCTGCTACTGATGATGATGCTGTTATTATTATGAAAGTGCATTACGTTTGCTGAATTGAGACCAGATACTCATTTACCTTGCGAGCGTTTCGAAATTAAAGTGAGATTCAAAAGCATATATGTGGGGAACACTTGAGGCACTCGTTCGTGCTCTAGCTCCCAATATGTTTCACCGCATAATCAGTGGTAGCATTCTATCTGCGAATACGCAATGACACAAAACTAGAGATTTTCTTCAGTTATTTTGTATTTTGACATTTTATCAACTCTCCTGAATAATCTAACATGAATTATCGTTTTAGTGAATTGAAGATCTATGGAATATTCTATATTCACTTGCAAAATGGTTAGGTTAACCGAATCACATGCTATGCAACATTGAACATAACATAGTTCATCATACAGACATGTTATCATCATTGAAACATCAATCCAAACAGTGCTCCTCCATCCAATGTATTACATATAAGATGTATTGATAGGTTTTATTATTATACATTGCCTATTCATGAATCAAGAATGAGAACTCAATACGCATAAATGCTGCTACTTTTTGCCTAAAATGTGATGATGTAGGAGTGCTACATTAAGTTTTTGCTGCTTTTCATTTACCCGGATAACAGATTCTATCAACATTGAATAGATCGACTACCTAACATTTTATTATCATCATATTTTAAACATTTTTATGATTCCATTTATTTTCGCATAAAAACCCAAAAACTTATCATTTCCACTGAAAATCTTGTTTAAAAGTTGAGGTTGCGAAAACATAAGCTCAAAGACGGTCGCTCGGTGTTTTCCCTAAAATTATTTTCACTGCCTTTCACCTTGTACTTCAATGGAATATGCTTTCCTTTTTTTCTGCGAAGCGGTCATTTTTAATTAAGGATAATGCATAAATTTCATGTAACCATTTCGCCAAGTCTCGGTTGATGCACAAGAAGATGATGGCCACTTTGACTACGCCCAAGAGCATAAAGCAATATCTGGAAAAAGGGGTTGTTGAGACGCATTTTTTCGATGTTATAAATTTAATTAGTTTTCTATACTATTCAAATATTTCAAAGAATGCACACGAAAGCGGAATTGTTGTGCAAAAAGGGAAGAATATCGCCGAAATAATGTATATTATTTTGGGATTCCTTTGAACGATCGATTTGATAAAAGAGTGAACATTTCCAATCATTTCAATCCTATCAATGTGTATGAAAAATATCTAAAATCTGATGTAAACGTGGAAATAGACGTCTGCTCTTGGCTGGCATCTCTGTTTCGACGAGTGAAACGTTCTATGCCATCGCTAATGTTTAAGCAGAAGCTTTCATTTCCATCATACATAAGTATAAACTTGCATATGTTTGGTTCACTGAGCAAATCCATTTTACGAGCTGAAATCTCTCTCACACTCATCTCTCGTTCTTCTTTTTTGCCCGATTCAAGATAGATTCAGCTGTACGTCGTCATACTCAAGAAAGGCAAATATTGACTGCAATCTTGAATGTTTCTTCTCTTTCGCCATCGTCTTCTCGTTTTCTCCGTCTCTATTGAACCAGTAAGAATTCGATCGAACACGAGAGGGAGAGATGGTTCTTCCATTGTAATTTAAACAATATGGTTGAGATGCTTGATTTTTTTCTTTTATCGTTTTCGTGAATTTCGTGCGCTTACGGAAAATATCAATTTATTTTGCAGTAGAAGAGATGGCAAGCGCAGTCTCTAAATGGAAATGAAAATGATAACGACTGTCGATAATGATAAAATACGGTCTGGCGAGTGTACAAGTGTTGAATTGACAACATTGAAATATTGTTATTGCGTTAATATTTTCGCTTTCTCTCTCTCAGGCTCGCTCTCCATCTCTTTAGTTTTGCCTGTTGTGATTTTATCGCGCGAACGCGTTCGCCATAATCTGTTTCTCTTGTGTTCGGCTCGCTTCAGTTCGGTTAGCTATATTGAAAAGTGAGCGACGGATGGTAGAGGCACGTTTTTTGGCTGCAAACTTTTCAATAAATGATGTGCGCCGTCCCCAAAACTGTTCACCGAAAATAGCTCGAAACACAGATACATTTTCTTGTTAAATTTTAATCGATTTCTTTTTCTACCCATTCCATTTTCATCAAAGGCGTTTTTCCAAATTATAGTTTGTCCTTGCCGGAGATTTATGATCTGGTTGGGTGCCGCTTTTCACATCGTGTTGCTCTTGTTATTGCTGCTGGTATTTTTTTTATTTGAAAAAAAAAAGATTCAAGACAAACTCAGCCTGTATGCTTGACATACCGTACATGCAGATGAGACCGAATGGGTATGTGTTTCCAGCTTCGAATTCTTCGGCTTTTCGTTCTACAAAGTTTGCTCGCTTACACACAATATTTCGCTTAATACGTGTGTAAAACAGACGTTAACATACCCTTTTCATTTCGCATATTTCTCTCTAGCATCTCGTCCCCTTTCTTGTGTATATATGTATTCTAGCCGAAGAGATGCGCAACATGAAATTCAAAAGATTTACAGTTATTTTAATTGGATGCTGCTTCTAAGCGCTTTTCTCGCTCGCTCTCTTTTTCACATTCCCTTTGTGTGTTCCACTCTTTCTGTGTGCTGTATACTGCCTGACATTTTTCGATACAAAATGAAAACAATCCAACTTTCATGCTCTCGTAATTACGTAAAGCACTCACAAATAGTCGAAGGCGTTCTATGTAACGCAATGATGATAATTTTAGCACAGAATTCAATTTTCTTGTAAATAAACAAGTACAACTCATTCGCAGAACCATTTCAACTTCGTGTTGTTGCCATGTTCATTTGAGTGTTTGCCCCTTTTCTTAGTCTTTTCAAATGGAATTCTTTTTTATTCCTGCCAAAGTGTCTATTTTGTGTAGAGCAATTGTGAATGAAATGCGAAAATGGTATTTGCTGCATTTCCACAGTAACCACAATATTTGCCATTCCAAACAGCTTTTCTTTTTTTTTGCAAGGAGTTTAAAGTCAATTTTTAGACAGTTATCCTGAATTGACGTTAATCCGTTTCTATTTTTCTCCCTTTTCAAACATTCTCTGAAAACAATGTCCGGATTGTAGTTGCATTTTACTCTCTATTCAATGATGATAAAATCGAAACCGATTATAAATTCATTAGTTTTGCTCACAAAATGGCTGCAGTGAACGTCAAATGTTTGCCGCATTAAAATTCCATTTCGGGAAAAATGTTGAATTAAAGAATATTGATTGAATATTTTTAAAAGCGGCATCCTTTGTTCCGGCATGGTATTTGCCAAATTGAATTGACAGAAAGTGGCCACATAAGCAGAACACACAACGCAAAGAGCTAGCTGACTTTGCGGATGGTTCATATTTATAAGCGCGTGTGTTGGAAATGTGAAGTGATTGGCGACAATAGATTCCGAATGTTTGTTCGATGGATGAAGAGAGAAGAAGTACAATAATAGAACGCGATATTCGGTTGGAATTTGCGCAGTGTTGATTGACAGCATGTCGCTAGACCAGAGTTTATTACGTATTCAATCAACATTTTATGAATTATGCGTAATTTCCACAATTTTTCTTCGCTTCTCTTTCGAACTTAGTGGCACTAATCCACTGCGTGCTTCTCTTTCGGTGTTCACATCTGGTTTCTTCCATGGTAATTTCATTGTGCGGAACACCCACACGTACGCCAGAGACTGATGCTTGATGATGAAGTGGCGGTGTCGCACAATTAAGAAATCACCCTGCTCAATTGATGATTGTTTGCAGCACATAAAATCGAAGGTTGATAAGAGAACACAAAAGGGCGAGCGACTGGGAGAAAGAGAGAGCGTGTGTGTGTGTGCGCGTTGCATGTTGGTAATTGCTATTCAATTTACGTTTATT